TTAGAACTGACTATAGACTAGACTATAGACTAGACTATAGACTAGACTATAGACTAGACTATAGACTAGACTATAGACTAGACTATAGGACTAGACTAGTAGACTAGACTAGCCTAGGGCTAGACTATAGACTAGACTATAGACTAGACTATAGACTAGACTATAGCCTAGACTATAGATAGACTATATATAGACTCGACTTACACCCAAATTTAGACTCGACTTAGACTCGGCTATAGATTAGACTATAGAATAGACTATAGAGTAGACTATAGAGTAGACTATAGGCTAGACCATAGAACTGACTATTGATTCGACTATTCAGATTATAGACTTCACTATGGCACAGATTATAGACCATTTAATCTAGATTATAGACTAGATTACAGTCCAGATTGTAGGACTGGGACTATAGTCCATACTATAGACTATAATCTAGTCTAGACAATGGACTACACTATAGAGTATAGGTATATAATAAACTATAGTATATGTACATTCTATATAATCGCGATTATAGTCTTTAGGGCGTCTCCTAAGTCTCACAGTATCAATCAAACTTTACGATCATAAATTTTTGTTTATACTCTAAATTTTGATTGTTTGTTTTTTCAACCAAATTGTTTTCTTCACTCTACTTTAATGAAACAAAAATTATATTGAAAAATAAATAAAAACCCCAAAATAATGTAACAATTATTAACTCCATGACAAAGCAGCATTCAATGAAGAATTAAACTTTTAAATTATTGGTTGTATCGATCGCTCTGCTCCCTTAGTAGAGTAAATACTCTTCACACAAATCTAAAACGCAAGATCGATCCACTTAAGAATATCAATTTTGTTTTTAATATTCTTCTCAGTTTATTAGTGAGAAGTTCAGCTTAAATTGTTGTCAATTCCGCAAACACTTAACAGATTTGAATTGTTATTACAACTTAACGCATACTTAGCAGAGTTGTTATTAACCCATTAATAGGCATTAATAGGTTTAAATTTGTTTATTGTATTAAAAATGCATTTGTTGTTTTAAGATTTTTTTGTAGAAAAATTGGGTTCTTTAAAATTTTGACATTGAATTAGTTAAGAAAATAAAGAAAATATGCTATGAAATATTTCAATTTGGAGAAGTTTTTTTTCAAGAAGTACACCCACTCTTACTTAACTTGTTGCGTTACTAAAAAAAATAGGAACTAATGAAACACTATACTTTAGAAGATACAATATGGTTGACTACAGACTAAGATTAGATTATAGAATACACTATGGACTAGGCTAGACTAGATACAAGACTATAGACTAGATTATAGACTACAGTACAAAATAGACAATATAAAATAGACTGTACTAGATTAAAGCATAGATTATAGTACTAGACTATAGACTAGTCTATAGACCAGACTATAAACAAGATTATACTTAGCTATAGACTAGGCTATAGACTAGTCTATAGACTAGACTACAGACTAGACTATATAGACAAGACTGCAGACTAGACCATATAGACAAGACTATAGACTAGACTATAGACTAGACTATAGACTAGACTATAGACTACACTATAGACTAGACTATAGACTAGACTATAGACTGGACTATAGACTAGACTATAGACTAGACTATCGACTAGACTATAGACTAGACTATAGACTAGACTATAGACTAGACTATAGACTAGACTATAGACTAGACTATAGACTAGACTATAGACTAGACTATAGACTAGACTATAGACTAGACTATAGACTAGACTATAGACTAGACTATATACTAGACTATAGACTAGACTATAGACTAGACTATAGACTAGACTATAGACTAGACTATAGACTAGACTATAGACTAGACTATAGACTAGACTATAGACTAGACTATAGACTAGACTATAGACTAGACTACAGACTAGACTACAGACTAGACTATAGACTAGACTACAGACTAGACTATAGACTAGACTATATACTAGACTATAGACTAGACTATAGACTATAGACTAGACTACAGACTAGACTACAGACTAGACTATAGACTAGACTACAGACTAGACTATAGACTAGACTACAGACTAGACTATAGACTAGACTACAGACTAGACTATAGACTAGACTATAGACTAGACTATAGACTAGACTATAGACTAGACTATAGACTAGACTATAGACTAGACTATAGACTAGACTATAGACTAGACCTATAGACTAGACTATAGACTAGACTATAGACTAGACTATAGACTAGACTATAGACTAGACTATAGACTAGACTATAGACTAGACTATAGACTAGACTATAGACTAGACTATAGACTAGACTATAGACTAGACTATAGACTAGACTATAGACTAGACTATAGACTAGACTATAGACTAGACTATAGACTAGACTATAGACTAGACTATAGACTAGACTATAGACTAGACTATAGACTAGACTATAGACTAGACTATAGACTAGACTATAGACTAGACTATAGACTAGACTATAGACTAGACTATAGACTAGACTATAGACTAGACTATAGACTAGACTAGGACTATAGACTAGACTATAGACTAGACTAGACTAGACTAGACTATAGACTAGACTATAGACTAGACTATAGACTAGACTATAGACTAGACTATAGACTAGACTATAGACTAGACTATAGACTAGACTATAGACTAGACTATAGACTAGACTATAGACTAGACTATAGACTAGACTATAGACTAGACTATAGACTAGACTATAGACTAGACTATAGACTAGACTATAGACTAGACTATAGACTAGACTATAGACTAGACTATAGACTAGACTATAGACTAGACTATAGACTAGACTATAGACTAGACTATAGACTAGACTATAGACTAGACTATAGACTAGACTATAGACTAGACTATAGACTAGACTATAGACTAGACTATAGACTAGACTATAGACTAGACTATAGACTAGACTATAGACTAGACTATAGACTAGACTATAGACTAGACTATAGACTAGACTATAGACTAGACTATAGACTAGACTATAGACTAGACTATAGACTAGACTATAGACTAGACTATAGACTAGATAGAGCGTAGACTATAGACTAGACTATAGACTAGACTATAGACTAGACTATAGACTAGACTATAGACTATGAACTATAGACTAGACTATAGACTAGACTATAGGACTAGACTATAGACTAGACTATAGACTAGACTATAGACTAGACTAATAGACTAGATACTAGACTAGGACTAAGACTAGACTATAGACCTAGACTATAGACTAGACTATATACTAGACTATAGACTAGACTATAGACTAGACTATAGACTAGACTATAAGACTAGACTATAGACTAGACGATAGACTAGACTATAGACTAGACTATAGACTAGACTATGGACTAGACTATGACTAGACTATAGACTAGACTATAGACTAGACTAAGACTAGACTATAGACTAGACTATAGACTAGACTATGACTAGACTAGGGACCTATAGACTAGACTATAGACTAGACTATAGACTAGACTATAGACTAGACTATAGACTAGACTATAGACTAGACTATAGACTAGACTATAGACTAGACTATAGACTAGACTATAGACTAGACTATAGACTAGACTATAGACTAGACTATATAGACTAGACTATAGACTAGACTATAGACTAGACTATAGACTAGACTATAGACTAGACTATAGACTAGACTATAGACTAGACTATAGACTAGACTATAGACTAGACTTAACTAGACTATGACTAGACTATAGACTAGACTATAGACTAGACTATAGACTAGACTATAACTAGACTATAGACTAGACTATAGACTAGACTATAGACTAGACTATAGACTAGACTATAGACTAGACTATAGACTAGACTATAGACTAGACTATAGACTAGACTATAGACTAGACTATAGACTAGACTATGGACTAGACTATGGACTAGACTATAGACTAGACTATAGACTAGACTATAGACTAGACTATAGACTAGACTATAGACTAGACTATAGACTAGATTATAGACTAGACTATAGACTAGACTATAGACTAGACTATAGACTAGACTATAGACTAGACTAGACTATAGACTAGACTATAGACTAGACTATAGACTAGACTATAGACTAGACTATAGACTAGACTATAGACTAGACTATAGACTAGACTATAGACTAGACTATAGACTAGACTATAGACTAGAATATAGACCTGTATATAGACTATAAACTAGACTGTGGACTAGATTGTAGACTAGGGTAAAGAAACCCAAGATTAAGTTTCTAAATAATTCTTTTATTATAAAGTTATAAAAACGTTTTTAACTGCCTGCCTTATTTCCACTTTTTCCTTTGGATTTCATAATAATAGAGATCAATTTCAAAAATTCAATATTTAATCATACAAAAAAGTTCAACAGGTCAACACTTATTTAGCGGCATAAATGTGTATCATAATTTTTAAAAGATCCTAAACATGATCATCATGTGTTTACCGCCAAACAACAACAATTGCCACCTTCTTAGGCTAAACTGACCATTAGGTATTAAGAAGAGAAGAAAAGAACAACTAATTTAAACTCTTTAGCTAAATGATATTTGTAGCAGAGATCATCATACCTAAACAACAGAGAGCGGGAGAAATCAAATTTTTAATAATCTGTGAGCTTTTTTTGAAAAGTTTACTCTTTGTGCCGTTCCAGGGTTTATGATCAACATGATCACAAGACAAGAAATTATAGCTGAAACGTGTTGAAAGACTCACTAAACAGAGAAGCTTCGAAGAACATGAAAAATTGAACAAGACGTTTAAAAAAAGATTAAATTTAACAAGAATCATACAAAATGGTAATGATATTTAAAGAATTTAATCAATAGTCCAAGCACTTGTTCACAGACAAATAATAACAACAACAATAACCATATGATCATGATCATGTGATCTTCAGCATTAGCTTTAACATCCATCAATCAGTTGGATTAAAATTCAAAAGGATTACCTTGCATATGCCCTCCACACAGACCGCCTTCCGCCTATAATAATGTGTATAATAAACGGCTGGTTTCTCGCATGGCGTCCCATCAGTTACTGATTGATTCATACTAATGAATATATCGGAATCAATGGGTTTACAATACAATTCACATTCATTATGTTCCTTTTCATAGCCCTGCCATGTATAGAATTTTCCTTTATACTGCTGGCGATTATAGGCCGAACATTGTTCATCGCGCATTTGACGATTGGTAAATTTACATTTCTCATCTTTACACAGGCGGTATTTTTTCATAATGCCAAAACAGCCGGTGGTCTTGTCGGCTAAATCGGGATAGAAAGTGATTTCCAAAGCATCAGAGTCGGTGGTATTTTGTATTCTAATGAGAAGTCAAAAACAATTAGTGTGGGTTACAAAGAATTCAATCATATTGAGCACCTTTTAATACACTGTCTTTTTCGTATTTGCACACACGAATTCGAACATCTACTCCATTTCTCCCAGCGACCCCAGGCATAAGTGGTGCCTACTCTCTTGATAATGTTAATATTTCTTTGGCGTGAACCATGTTTTCCACCACTACCGCCACCAACATTCTCATTTTCATAACCACCCTCTTCGTCCCCATCATTGTCATCATAGTCATCTTCATAATCATTAGTTTCTTCTGGTTTCTTAGAGCTTTTGGCTTTTTTATTGGTTATTTTTATATTATCCAAGCGTGACAAAGATTTAGTCAATTGTAAGGAACTTTTGGCATCTATAACATTAGATGATTTTGATGCGGAGGCAACTTTCAGGAAATTGGCAAAGCATATAAGTACTAGAAAAAAGCTTAAGCTGAAAATATACCAAATACTTTAAAGCTTTTTTATTTTATAAAACTTAAAGTTTGTCTAAAGTTTTAAATAAAAACCAACTTGGAAATTGAAAGCTTTACAAATATCTGTAACTGTACAGTAATATAATCATTAATCTTTACTCTGACCTATAAAATGGAACAGACCCTATTCTATAATCTGGAGTAAAGTCTGCACTATTGCTAGTCGAACGTTTAGACTATAACTCATCCAGTATATAGTTTGGACTACATTATGGTAAATAGTCTAGCATTGCCTTTAGTTTGGACTATAGTATGGCTATAGTTGTCTACAGTTTGGACTATAGTTGTCTATATCGTCAAAAGCGCCTACACTATATAGTCTAGTCTATAGTCTGGAATATAGTCTAGTCCATAGTTTAGACTACAGTCTAGCCTATAGTCTGGACTGTAGTTTAGACTATAGTCTGGACTATAGTCCAGTTTATAGTGTGGAATATAGTCTAGTCTATAGTCTGGACTATAGTCTAGTCTATAATTTGGACTATATTCTAGTCTATAGTCTGGACTATAGTTTAGTCTATAGTCTGTACTATGGTCTAGTCTATAGTCTGGACTATAGTCTAGTTTATAGTCTGGACTATAGTCTATAGTCTGAACTATAGTCTACTCTATAATATGGACTATAGTCTACTCTGTAGTCTGGACTATAATATAGTCTATAGTCTGGACTATAGTCTAGTCTACAGTTTGGTCATTATAGTCAAGTCTATAGTCTGAACTATAGTATGGTCTATAATCTTGTCTATAGTCTGGACAATATGTAGACTAGTCTATAGTGTGACTTATAACTTCTTGTCTTGTCTGTAGTCTGGACTATAGTCTAGACTATAGTCTAGTCTATAGTCTAGACTATAGTCTAGTCTATAGTCTAGACTATAGTCTAGTCTATAGTCTGGACTATAGTCTAGTCTATAGTCTGGACTATAGTCTAGTCTATAGTCTGGACTATAGTCTAGTCTATAGTCTGGAATATGGTCTAGTCTATAGTCTGGAATATGGTCTAGTCTATAGTCTACTCTATTGTCTGGACTATGGTCTAGTCTATAGTCTGGACTATAGTTTAGTCTATAGTCTGGACTACAGTCTAGTCTATAGTCTGGACTATAGTTTAGTCTATAGTCTGGAGTATAGTCTAGTCTATAGTCTGGACTATAGTTTAGTCTATAGTCTGGACTATAGCCTAGTCTATAGTCTGGACTATAGCCTAGTCTATAGTCTGGAATATAGTCTATGCTATAGTCGGAACTATAGTCTAGTCTATAGTCTGGACTATAGCACAGTCTATATTGTGGACTATAGTCTAATCTAGATTCTGTTCTATAAGCTAGTCAATAGCCTGGACTATAGTCTAGTCAATAGTCTGAACTATAGTCTAGTCTATAGTGTGGACTATAGTCTACATACTAGAATATACTCTAGTCTATACACATATTTTCAATTTCTTTTTCTAAAAACCCCTTAATGACTCATTTCTCAATTTAGCAAAATTATCTCAACAAAAATTTCCATTTTAATTCAAATACCTCCATAATTTCCTCACTTTAAGCTTGAATTAAACTCAACAATAAAAGAGTTTAAACAAAAGGAAAGAGAATGACTTTTTCCTGACATCATTTACAATATGTATTGTTTTAAAGCAGACATCATTTTTGAACATCAGTTAAGCTTCAGTGCATTCTAGTTTATTTTTCCTCTAAACAATGAATATTTGAACTAAATTAGAACAAATCTTTCAAAACAGAGCAAAAACAAAATAATCATTCATTAATAAATTTGATATCGTTATACAAAAAAGTGCTAAACTGAAAAGGTGAACAATTATTTCGAGGAAAAATAGAAAGTAGCAGCAGAGAATGCTAAAGATCAATTGATAATTAAGGGTAATTGTTATTAGAAAATTAGTTAATAAATGTATATAATTAAATGGGTGGGGACATTTTAACACCCATTATAAATAAAATAGAAAAATTACAAAACTATTTTTAGAAAAACAATGGAAATGTTCAATTATTAAAATATCACACGTTTTTCGGCGAGTTTTAGAAATATGACTCATTTTCCAGTAAGTAGTAGTTATCTTTCAAAAAACTTTAAAAAATCTTTATGAACCAGATTAAAGTCTAACTTATAGTCTAGTCTATAATCTAATTTATAGTCCAGTCCAAAGACTAGTCTATAATATAGTCCAAAAACTAGCCTAATCTATTTTCTAGTCTATAGTCTAGTCTCTAGTCTAGTCTATAGTCTAGTCTATAGTCTAGTCTATAGTCTAGTCTATAGTCTAGTCTATAGTCTAGTCTATAGTCTAGTCTATAGTTTAGTCTATAGTCTAGTCTATAGTCTAGTCTATAGTCTAGTCTATAGTCTAGTCTATAGTCTAGTCTATAGTCTAGTCTATAGTCTAGTCTATAGTCTAGTCTATAGTCTAGTCTATAGTCTAGTCTATAGTCTAGTCTATAGTCTAGTCTATAGTCTAGTCTATAGTCTAGTCTATAGTCTAGTCTATAGTCTAGTCTATAGTCTAGTCTATAGTCTAGTCTATAGTCTAGTCTATAGTCTAGTCTATAGTCTAGTCTATAGTCTAGTCTATAGTCTAGTCTATAGTCTAGTCTATAGTCTAGTCTATAGTCTAGTCTATAGTCTAGTCTATAGTCTAGTCTATAGTCTAGTCTATAGTCTAGTCTATAGTCTAGTCTATAGTCTAGTCTATAGTCTAGTCTATAGTCTAGTCTATAGTCTAGTCTATAGTCTAGTCTATAGTAGTCTATAGTCTAGTCTATAGTCTAGTCTATAGTCTAGTCTATAGTCTAGTCTATAGTCTAGTCTATAGTCTAGTCTATAGTCTAGTCTATAGTCTAGTCTATAGTCTAGTCTATAGTCTAGTCTATAGTCTAGTCTATAGTCTAGTCTATAGTCTAGTCTATAGTCTAGTCTATAGTCTAGTCTATAGTCTAGTCTATAGTCTAGTCTATAGTCTAGTCTATGGTCTAGTCTATAGTCTAGTCTATAGTCTAGTCTATAGTCTAGTCTAGTCTATAGTCTAGTCTATAGTCTAGTCTATAGTCTAGTCTATAGTCTAGTCTATAGTCTAGTCTATAGTCTAGTCTATAATCTAGTCTATAATCTAGTCTATAGTCTATGCTAGTCTAGTCTATAGTCTAGTCTATACTCTAGTCGATAGTCTAGTCTATAGTCTGGTCTATAGTCTGGTCTATAGTCTAGTCTATAGTCTAGTCTATAGTCTAGTTTTTAGTCTAGTCTATAGTCTAGTCTATAGCCTAGTTTTTAATGTAGTCTATAGTCTAGTCCATAGTCTAGTCTATAGTCTAGTGTTTTAGTCTAGTCTATAGTCTAGTCTATAGTCTAGTCTATAGTCTAGTCTATAGTCTAGTCTATAGTCTAGTCTATAGTCTAGTCTATAGTCTAGTCTATAGTCTAGTCTATAGTCTAGTCTATAGTCTAGTCTATAGTCTAGTCTATAGTCTAGTCTGTAGTCTAGTCTATAGTCTAGTCTATAGTCTAGTCTATAGTCTAGTCTATAGTCTAGTCTATAGTCTAGTCTATAGTCTAGTCTATAGTCTAGTCTATAGTCTAGTCTATAGTCTAGTCTATAGTCTAGTCTAGAGTCTAGTCTATAATCTAGTCTATAATCTAGTCTATAGTCTATGCTATAGTCTAGTCTATAATCTAGTCTATACTCTAGTCTGGAGTAATAGTCTGGTCTATAGTCTGGTCTATAGTCTGGTCTATAGTCTAGTCTATAGTCTAGTCTATAGTCTAGTCTATAGTCTAGTCTATAGTTTAGTCTATAGTCTAGTCTATAGTCTAGTCGATAGTCTAGTCTATAGTCTAGTCTATAGTCCTAGGTCTATAGTCTAGTCTATAGTCTAGTCTATAGTCTATAGTCTAGTCTATAGTCTAGTCTATAGTCTAGTCTATAGTCTAGTCTATAGTCTAGTCTATAGTCTAGTCTATAGTCTAGTCATAGCCTAGTCTTATGTCTAGTCTATAGTCTAGTCTATAGTCTAGTCTATAGTCTAGTCTATAGTCTAGTCTATAGTCTAGTCTATAGTCTAGTCTATAGTCTAGTCTATAGTCTAGTCTATAGTCTAGTCCATAGTCTAGTCTATAGTGTAGTCTATAGTCTAGTCTATAGTCTAGTCTATAGTCTAGTCTATAGTCTAGTCTATAGTCTAGTCTATAGTCTAGTCTAGTAGTCTAGGTCTAGTAGTCTAGTCTATAGGTCTAGTCTATAGTCTAGTCTATAGTCTAGTCTATAGTCTAGTCTATAGTCTAGTCTATAGTCTAGTCTATAGTCTAGTCTATAGTCTAGTCTATAGTCTAGTCCTATAGTCTAGTCTATAGTCTAGTCTATAGTCTAGTCTATAGTCTAGTCTATAGTCTAGTCTATAGTCTAGTCTATAGTCTAGTCTATAGTCTAGTCTATAGTCTAGTCTATAGTCTAGTCTATAGTCTAGTCTATAGTCTAGTCTATAGTCTAGTCTATAGTCTAGTCTATAGTCTAGTCTATAGTCTAGTCTATAGTCTAGTCTATAGTCTAGTCTAGTCTAGTCTATAGTCTAGTCTATAGTCTAGTCTATAGTCTAGTCTATAGTCTAGTCTATAGTCTAGTCTATAGTCTAGTCTATAGTCTAGTCTATAGTCTAGTCTATAGTCTAGTCTATAGTCTAGTCTATAGTCTAGTCTATAGTCTAGTCTATAGTCTAGTCTATAGTCTAGTCTATAGTCTAGTCTATAGTCTAGTCTATAGTCTAGTCTATAGTCTAGTCTATAGTCTAGTCTATAGTCTAGTCTATAGTCTAGTCTATAGTCTAGTCTATAGTCTAGTCTATAGTCTAGTCTATAGTCTAGTCTATAGTCTAGTCTATAGTCTAGTCTATAGTCTAGTCTATAGTCTAGTCTATAGTCTAGTCTATAGTCTAGTCTATAGTCTAGTCTATAGTCTAGTCTACAGTCTAGTCTATAGTCTAGTCTATATCTAGTCTATAGTCTAGTCTATAGTCTAGTCTGTAGTCTAGTCTAGTCTAGTCTATAGTCTAGTCTATAGTCTAGTCTATAGTCTAGTCTATAGTCTAGTCTATAGTCTAGTCTGTAGTCTAGTCTATAGTCTAGTCTATAGTCTAGTCTAGTCTATAGTCTAGTATATAGTCTAGTCTAGTCTATAGTCTAGTCTATAGTCTAGTCTATAGGCTAGTCTATAGTCTAGTCTATAGTCTAGTCTATAGTCTAGTCTATAGTCTAGTCTATAGTCTAGTCTATAGCCTAGTCTATAGTCTAGTCTATAGTCTAGTCTATAGTCTAGTCTATAGTCTAGTCTATAGTCTAGTCTATAGTCTAGTCTATAGTCTAGTCTATAGTCTAGTATAGTCTAGTCTATAGTCTAGTCTATAGTCTAGTCCATAGTCTAGTCTATAGTGTAGTCTATAGTCTAGTCTATAGTCTAGTCTATAGTCTAGTCTATAGTCTAGTCTATAGTCTAGTCTATAGTCTAGTCTATAGTCTAGTCTATAGTCTAGTCTATAGTCTAGTCTATAGTCTAGTCTATAGTCTAGTCTATAGTCTAGTCTATAGTCTAGTCTATAGTCTAGTCTATAGTCTAGTCTATAGTCTAGTCTATAGTCTAGTCTATAGTCTAGTCTATAGTCTAGTCTATAGACTAGTCTATAGTCTAGTCTATAGTCTAGTCTAGTCTATAGTCTAGTCTAGTCTATAGTCTAGTCTAGTCTAGTATAGTCTAGTCTATAGTCTAGTCTATAGTCTAGTCTATAGTCTAGTCTATAGTCTAGTCTATAGTCTAGTCTGTAGTCTAGTCTATAGTCTAGTCTATAGTCTAGTCTATAGTCTAGTCTGTAGTCTAGTCTATAGTCTAGTCTATAGTCTAGTCTATAGTCTAGTCTATAGTCTAGTCTATAGTCTAGTCTATAGTCTAGTCTATAGTCTAGTCTATAGTCTAGTCTATAGTCTAGTCTATAGTCTAGTCTATAGTCTAGTCTATAGTCTAGTCTATAGTCTAGTCTATAGTCTAGTCTATAGTCTAGTCTATAGTCTAGTCTATAGTCTAGTCTATAGTCTAGTCTATAGTCTAGTCTATAGTCTAGTCTAGTGTATAGTCAGTCTATAGTCTAGTCTATAGTCTAGTCTATAGTCTAGTCTATAGTCTAGTCTATAGTCTAGTCTATAGTCTAGTCTATAGTCTAGTCTATAGTCTAGTCTATAGTCTAGTCTATAGTCTAGTCTAGTCTAGTCTAGTCTATAGTCTAGTCTATAGTCTAGTCTATAGTCTAGTCTATAGTCTAGTCTATAGTCTAGTCTATAGTCTAGTCTATAGTCTAGTCTATAGTCTAGTCTATAGTCTAGTCTATAGTCTAGTCTATAGTCTAGTCTATAGTCTAGTCTATAGTCTAGTCTATAGTCTAGTCTATAGTCTAGTCTATAGTCTAGTCTATAGTCTAGTCTATAGTCTAGTCTATAGTCTAGTCTATAGTCTAGTCTATAGTCTAGTCTATAGTCTAGTCTATAGTCTAGTCTAGTCTAGTCTATAGTCTAGTCTATAGTCTAGTCTATAGTCTAGTCTATAGTCTAGTCTATAGTCTAGTCTATAGTCTAGTCTATAGTCTAGTCTATAGTCTAGTCTATAGTCTAGTCTATAGTCTACTCTATAGTCTAGTCTATAGTCTAGTCTATAGTCTAGTCTATAGTCTAGTCTATAGTCTAGTCTATAGTCTAGTCTATAGTCTAGTCTATAGTCTAGTCTATAGTCTAGTCTATAGTCTAGTCTATAGTCTAGTCTATAGTCTAGTCTATAGTCTAGTCTATAGTCTAGTCTATAGTCTAGTCTATAGTCTAGTCTATAGTCTAGTCTATAGTCTAGTCTATAGTCTAGTCTATAGTCTAGTCTATAGTCTAGTCTATAGTCTATCTAGTCTATAGTCTAGTCTATAGTCTAGTCTATAGTCTAGTCTACAGTGTCTAGTCTATAGTCTAGTCTATCTAGTCTATAGTCTAGTCTATAGTCTAGTCTGTAGTCTAGTCTATAGTCTAGTCTATAGTCTAGTCTATAGTCTAGTCTATAGTCTAGTCTATAGTCTAGTCTGTAGTCTAGTCTATAGTCTAGTCTATAGTCTAGTCTGTAGTCTAGTCTATAGTCTAGTCTATAGTCTAGTCTAGTATAGTCTAGTCTAGTCTATAGTCTAGTCTATAGTCTAGTCTATAGTCTAGTCTATAGTATAGTCTAGTCTAGTCTATAGCCTAGTCTATAGTCTAGTCTATAGTCTAGTCTATAGTCTAGTCTATAGTCTAGTCTATAGTCTAGTCTATAGTCTAGTCTATAGTCTAGTCTATAGTCTAGTCTATAGTCTAGTCTATAGTCTAGTCTATAGTCTAGTCATAGTCTAGTCTATAGTGTAGTCTATAGTCTAGTCTATAGTCTAGTCTATAGTCTAGTCTATAGTCTAGTCTATAGTCTAGTCTATAGTCTAGTCTATAGTCTAGTCTATAGTCTAGTCTATAGTCTAGTCTATAGTCTAGTCTATAGTCTAGTCTATAGTCTAGTCTATAGTCTAGTTTATAGTCTAGTCATAGTCTAGTCTATAGTCTAGTCTAGTCTATAGTCTAGTCTATAGTCTAGTCTATAGTCTAGTCTATAGTCTAGACTATAGTCTAGTCTATAGTCTAGTCTATAGTCTAGTCTATAGTCTAGTCTATAGTCTAGTCTATAGTCTAGTCTATAGTCTAGTCTATAGTCTAGTCTATCGTCTAGTCTAAGTCTAGTCTATAGTCTAGTCTATAGTCTAGTCTATAGTCTAGTCTATAGTCTAGTCTATAGTCTAGTCTATAGTCTAGTCTATAGTCTAGTCTAGTCTAGTCTATAGTCTAGTCTATAGTCTCGTCTATAGTTTAGTCTATAGTCTAGTCTATAGTCTAGTCTATAGTCTCGTCTATAGTCTAGTCTATAGTCTAGTCTATAGTCTAGTCTATAGTCTAGTCTATAGTCAGCTATAGTCTAGTCTATAGTCTAGTCTATAGTCTAGTCTATAGCTATCTATAGTCTAGTCTATAGTCTAGTCTATAGTCTAGTCTATAGTCTAGTCTATAGTCTAGTCTATAGTCTAGTCTATAGTCTAGTCTATAGTCTAGTCTATAGTCTAGTCTATAGTCTAGTCTATAGTCTAGTCTATAGTCTAGTCTATAGTCTAGTCTATAGTCTAGTCTATAGTCTAGTCTAGTTAAGTCTAGTCTATAGTCTAGTCTATAGTCTAGTCTATAGTCTAGTCTATAGTCTAGTCTATAGTCTAGTCTATAGTCTAGTCTATAGTCTAGTCTATAGTCTAGTCTATAGTCTAGTCTATAGTCTAGTCTATAGTCTAGTCTATAGTCTAGTCTATAGTCTAGTCTATAGTCTAGTCTGTAGTGTAGTCCATAGTCTAGTCTATACACTAGTTTTTAGTCCAGTCTATAGTCAAGTCTATAGGCTTGTCTATAGCCTAGTTTATAGTCCAGTCCAATAAAGCTATTGTATTGGATATTTATTTTTAGCACTTTTTTATTGCACTTTGTACTTCTCTACTCCACTTTTCTAATTTATATTTTGTTTCATTTTATCGTAATTAGTTGTTGTATTTCGATCTGTTTTAAATCTACATATTTCCAGTATAGTGCGTTAAAACGCCCTCACTTTTTTGCACTCACAATAATCATTAAGTTTAATTAAATAATAGATTATGAAAAACAAACCTGATAACATTACAATACATTGTAAAATGTTATAAAAATTAAATAACTATTTAAATTTATTATATTTTTTATAAATTTAATTCCTTTAAAAAAAAACGCTGCTCTTTTTTAAATAAACGTTTTAACCCTTAACAAATCTCAAGCACAACTGAAATTGTTATTAACTGAAAATTATAATTTTTTCTAATAATTTGCTTTCAGAATACCAAGTACACAATAACAAAAACATTTTCTCTTTACTTTTTGTGAAAGAAAAATGTTTAAAAATTTATACGGTTTTAATAAACAAGCAATACAAGCAATAAAATTAATTTAATATAATTTATCTTTTTAGAATTTTGTTTATTTTGAACTTGTGTATAGTAAATAAAAATAATACTTAAATAAATGTATGAAAATGTGTTGGTAAATTTTCATTCTTTGTTATCATAATAACAAACTCTAAAGAAAAGTAAAGTTTAAAATTTGAGAAAATATGTTTTCAAAATAAATGCAGTTTTTTTTTCAATTTTGTTTTAATCATTTGTTTAATTAAGATAACGTTTTTTGGACAATTTTTAAATAATTTTTTTTTAACACAAGCAACTGCAAAAATGTTAAGAATCAAACATTTTAACATTTACATTACATTTTTCTTAATAAAACAATAAAAAATGCATTTTTAATAACGTTTGAAAAATAACTTAAAAACTAGCAGCATACTTTTAGGATGAACAATTTTGACCCATAGATTCTAAGCTTTTAAACTAACGGCAGTTCTGCTGAAATTCTGCTTATTCACCAAATCAAGAATTCCAGTTTTTGACGGCGTTAAATATTACTTTAATGGACTTTGTAGTCTGATGAACAATGGTGCCACTTTGCTGATTTTGAACACTATAGACTAGAATTATAAAGCTAAACTATAAAGCTAAACTATAATATAGACTATAATATAGACTATAATATAGACTATAATATAGACTAGATTATAGACTATACTATAGAATAGACTATAGACCAGACTATAGAATAGACTATAGACCAGACTATAGACTAGACTATAGAATAGACTATAGACCAGACTATAGACTAGACCAATGGTGCCACTTTGCTGATTAGACTAGAATTATAAAACTAGACTATAGACTAGAATATAAACTGGACTGCAGACTAGACTATAGAGTAGTCGATAGACTAGACTATAGACTAGACTATATACTAGACTATAGACTATACTATAGACCAGACTATATACTAGACTATAGACTATACTATAGACTAGACTATAGACTAGACTATAGACTAGACTATAGACTAGACTATAGACTAGACTGTAGACTAGACTATAGACTAGTCTATAGACTAGACTATAGACTAGACTATAGACTAGACTATGGACTAGACTATAGACAAGACTATAGACTAGAATATAGACTAGACTATAGACTAGACTATAGACTAGACTATAGACTAGACTAGACTATACTATAGACTATACTATAGACTAGACTATAGACTAGACTATAGACTAGACTATAGACTAGACTATAGACTAGACTATAGACTAGACTATAGACTAGACTATAGACTAGACTATAGACTAGACTATAGACTAGACTATAGACTAGACTATAGACTAGACTATAGACTAGACTATAGACTAGACTATAGACTAGACTATAGACTAGACTATAGACTAGACTATAGACTAGACTATAGACTAGACTATAGACTAGACTATAGACTAGACTATAGACTAGACTATAGACTAGACTATAGACTAGACTATAGACTAGACTATAGACTAGACTATAGACTAGACTATAGACTAGACTATAGACTAGACTATAGACTAGACTATAGACTAGACTATAGACTAGACTATAGACTAGACTATAGACTAGACTATAGACTAGACTATAGACTAGACTATAGACTAGACTATAGACTAGACTATAGACTAGACTATAGACTAGACTATAGACTAGACTATAGACTAGACTATAGACTAGACTAGACTAGACTAGACTAGACTAGACTAGACTATAGACTAGACTATAGACTAGACTATAGACTAGACTATAGACTAGACTATAGACTAGACTATAGACTAGACTATAGACTAGACTATAGACTAGACTATAGACTAGACTATAGACTAGACTATAGACTAGACTATGACTAGACTATAGACTAGACTATAGACTAGACTATAGACTAGACTATAGACTAGACTATAGACTAGACTATAGACTAGACTATAGACTAGACTATAGACTACACTATAGACTAGATTATAGACTAGACGATAGACTACACTATAGACTATACTATAGACTAGACTATAGACTACACTATAGAGTAGACTATGGACTAGACTATAGACTAGACTATAGACTAGACTATAGACTAGACTATGGACTACACTATTGACTAGACTATAGACTAGACTATAGACTAGACTATAGACTAGACTATAGACTAGACTATAGACTAGACTATAGACTAGATTATAGACTAGACTATAGACTAGACTATAGACTAGACTATAGACTAGACTATAGACTAGACTATAGACTAGACTATAGACTAGAATATGGACTAGACTATGGAATAGACTATAGACTAGACTATAGACTACACTATAGACTACACTATAGACTACACTATAGACTACACTATAGACTAGACTATAGACTACACTATAGACTAGACTATGGGCTAGACTATAGACTAGACTATAGACTAGACTATAGACTAGACTATAGACTAGACTATAGACTAGACTATAGACTAGACTATAGACTAGACTATAGACTAGACTATAGACTAGACTATAGACTAGACTATAGACTAGACTATAGACTAGACTATAGACTAGACTATAGACTAGACTATAGACTAGACTATAGACTAGACTATAGACTAGACTATAGACTAGACTATAGACTAGACTATAGACTAGACTATAGACTAGACTATAGACTAGACTATAGACTAGACTATAGACTAGACTATAGACTAGACTATAGACTAGATTATAGACTAGACTATAGACTAGACTAGACTAGACTATAGACTAGACTATAGACTAGACTATAGACTAGACTATAGACTAGACTATAGACTAGACTATAGACTAGACTATAGACTAGACTATAGACTAGACTATAGACTAGACTATAGACTAGACTATAGACTAGACTATAGACTAGACTATAGACTAGACTATAGACTAGACTATAGACTAGACTATAGACTAGACTATAGAATAGACTATAGACTAGACTATAGACTAGACTATAGACTAGACTATAGACTAGACTATAGACTAGACTATAGACTAGACTATAGAGTAGACTATAGACTAGACTATAGACTAGACCATAGACTAGACTATAGAGTAGACTATAGACTAGACTATAGACTAGACTATAGACTAGACTATAGACTAGACTATAGACTAGACTAGAGACTAGATTATAGACCAGACTATAGACTAGACTATAGACTAGACTATAGACTAGACTATAGACTATATTATAGACTATATTATAGACTAGACTATAGACTAGACTATAGACTAGACTATAGACTAGAGTATAGACTAGATTATAGACTATACTATAGACTAGGCTATAAACTAGTCGGTTGATTATTGGAATATGGCCTTTACTGGGGAATTAAGTCAATTATAGCATGAGGTCCATATAGTCCAAACTTGTGTGGGTCTACGAACAATATTTCCATGTATTACAAACGAATTGATAAAATCATTTTACACCCATAGTGTTTGATTGTGGGTACAATACTGCGTTCACACATTCGATAAGGAATTCTATAAAACGGGAAATTCCCATATTTTGTGCAGTTTTATTTTTCATTCATTGAAGCAAGATTAAACAACTATAACTTTCAATATAAAAAGTACAAACGAAAGGAATTGTAATACATTTTTGAAATAAATTTTTAACAAAAAAGAGGAAAGAAGGAAGAAACATTTCGTGTAAAGTGCTAAAAGTTGTAAAAAAAAAAACAAAAATTTCGAAAAGTTTTGCATAAATAATTTGTTAATATTGTTATCAAATATGAATCAACAGCCACTTAAGATCACCTATCATTCAGGGGATAATAAAATTAATGTCTATTTGAAAATGCCCTCATCCAATTATCATGTCGTAAAAAAGGAAATCAAGATGTGTTTGTTCGTAGAACACAACCAACCTCCCTGTAAACTACGCACATATTATATTGGTTAGTTTTAAAAAAATTTTGAAAATTTTTAGAAAATAATACAATTAAATTACTTTTATTAAAGAAACATGTTATTTTTTCATAAAACAAACTTCTTTTATTCAGATGAAGACCATGACGAAATCGAAATTGTCAATCAATGTGATTATGAAATTTTCATGGACAAATGTTCTATACGCCAACACTTGCAAGTCACTCCTATTAGCATGAAGGCAGAGGAAAAACCAAAAGTAGTGACCTCCACTGAGTCGTCATCGGCTTCACAACAAGCCAAGAAACCACCAGCTGCCGCTGGTTCTTATGATTTAGCTGTACACGAACATATTGCATGTGATGCTTGTGACATGGCCCCCATTAAAGGCTTTCGCTACAAGTGCATCCAGTGTCGCAACTATGATTTATGTGAAAATTGTGAATCGAAACATATACACTCGGAACATATGATGGTACGTCTACCCACAAACAATTGTCCCAATTTTATTATTTCACGTCGTAATTCACGCAGACAAGGTAATTTCTAATTCAGTTCTACTCCAATATTCTGAGCTATCATAATAACCCAACAAACAAAAATTCTAACGTTTCAGAGGACGTCCAGGGTGAATTCGAAGTTATTAATAGTTTTATGGGGCGATTTTCGCTAGCTAATATGGATGCAATGAAACAGCAAAAAGATATTTTGAAGCTTCCGCGATAAGTGCATCCAGGATCGCGACTATAATTTACATAAATACATATGTCAAAATTGTGAATAGAAACATATACACTCGGATTATACTATAGCATGCATGCCCATTATCACTAGAAACGGCAATCATTCTAATTGTGCATTTACACCAAAAAAAAAATATAAAATTCTTACTTGTACCATCTTAAGAACTTTTTAAAAAGTAAAATAAAAACACGCAGCATATCATCAGGATAAACAATTTTGATCATAGAGTGCGTTTCTCTATGATTTTGACTATGGACAGTGAAAACTTTTAAAATAGCGATATTCAAATTGAAATTCACCATTACTTTTATGTCGTTCCTTTTTTAGATTCCGGTACACTAATTCTTAACGCCGTTAAATGTTTCTTTTAAAGACTTTGTAGTCTGATGTGTGCAATGGTGCCACTATGATGATTTTTTAGCGTTTTTAAGTGTCAAACGCGGTCAGTTCTTTTTCAGTTAAATTTTAGGTCTAGTTCTCTTTAGGGTTCTATAAATCGACTTTCGAATAATCGAACAATCGACTTTTTGTCGAAAAAAGTCGAAAAGTCGAAGTCGACTATTTTGTTCCAAAAAAGTCGATAACTCGACTATCGTCTATGAAAAAAGTCGAAAAGTCGACTTTGTAAATAAAAGTCGAAAAAAGTCGAAAAGTCGAAAAAAGTCGATAAGTCGAAGAAAGTCGAAAAAAGTCGAAAAGTCGAAAAAAGTCGAAAAGTCGGAAAAAGTCGAAAAGTCGAAAAAAGTCGAAAATAGTCGAAAATTTTAAAAAAGTGGAAAAGAGGTCAAAAACTCTAAAATAGTCGGAAAAACTCGAAAAAAGTAAAAAATAGTCGAAAAAAGTCGAAAATAGTCAAAAAGTCGTAAAAAATCGAAAAGTCGGAAAAAGTCGAAAAGTTGAAAAAAGTCGGAAAAAGTCGAAAAAAGTCGAAAAGTCGAAAAAAGTCGAAAAAAGTCGGAAAAAGTCGAAAAGTCGAAAAAAGTCGGAAAAAGTCGAAAAGTCGGAAAAAGTCGAAAAGTCGACCATTTATAAAGTACTAAAAGTCGAAAAGTCTAAAAGTCGACTTTTAAATAAATGAAAAAGGTCGAAAAGTCGAAAAATCGACTTTTCATAAAATGGAAAAAGTCGAAAGGTCGAAAAGTCGACTTTTAACTAAATGCAAAAAGTCGAAAAGTCGACTTTTCGTTTCAACTATAGAACCCTAGTTCTCTTCTAGTTCAGTTCTAACTAGGGATGCCAATCGGGACTGATTTTTAAAAATCCCGGGATTCGGGAATCCCGATATCGGGATCCCGGGATTTCTAAATCCCGAAAAATATAAATAAATTTTCAAGAAATCTTAATAATTTTCCAAAAAAAAATAATAATTTTCTTCAATTAAATATTATTTATATATTTTATTGTGTGGTTTTTTTAGTTTTATAATTGTTTCTGAGCTTAATTCGATTTTTTGCGAATTGGGAATATGTACGAGTGTCCTTTATAAACTGATCCTCTGATATTCCAATGGACAATGCTGCACCTATAAATTGTAGATATTTAATAATTATAATAGTGTATTTAAAATTTTGTAATTTTTTTAATTTTTTCTTACTTCGTATTGCCTTTGTTGTGCTAAGATTTCGTACACTTTTCTTTGATTCAGTGCCTTTCCAGCATAACTGTTCTCCTAATACGTCAGTTATTAGTTTTCTCCAGCAATTTTTTGTAAAATTTGGAGTTTTGGCAACCAGTGTTAACTCCTTTTCCTGAAAAAGGTGATAAGGAAAAAATATTTTCAATGAATAGGATTCCAATAAAACTTACAAAAAATGCAAAGTTTTCGCCATTTTCTTGAAGCTGTTTTTCAAAATCGAAGAAGAGCTCAATTTCTTTAAATGGTTCATCAGGCATTACGGTGCGTTAGATACAGCGGTACAAGGGTATACTCGGTCAATTTTTCAATATCAAAAATCAAATTTCCATCCCAGGTACTGAATAGTAGAATAAAAACCTACTTCTGAGCAATAGCTTCTTACATAGGTATATCTTATTTATTAGTATACTAGCGTACCCTGGGTGCTTCGCTACCCAATCAAAATAAAATAAAAAATTTTGATTACTTTTATGGTAAAGTACTTACTATAGTACCAAGAATCTCCCTCTTATAAATTCTTATTTAATAAGGACCATGTGTCACGTATTTCGGTTCCCCACTGTAGAAAATTGAAGAATGAAAAAGTACCAAAGAGTCAAGAGGTTTCTTATTCAATCAGGACCCTGGATTTTTAATATTATAGTATCAAAAAGTTCTCTATTAAAGAATCTCATTCAGTGTTTGTTCAATAATCTTGTGTTTTGGCTTCATATTACAGAACATACAAAAACTACCATTTGACTGTAATACTCTAATAGATTCTCATTTAGTCATGTTAAATTTTATTTTTCTAGGTTCAATATTAAAGAAAATACAAAAAGTACCATTTGATGAACGTAAAAGTTCCAAAAAATGCCCTCTTTCTTATTCAATCAGGAGAATTAAGTTTACAAATTATTCCGTATTTAAATCTATATATCACAGATAAAACTCAAACGATTCTAATTTGCATTCATTTGTTCCAGAAAAATTGTGCTTTCAAAAAGTACGAAATAATTTACCCGAATTTGGTCCTGTAAAGGCCTTAGTATCCAAATTCCAAAATAATATATTCTTGTATCACTAATATTGTGTAAGATATCATGAAATCAAAATCTCATGATTCTAGGTTTAGCCGTTTAGGCTGTGCGATGATGAATCAGTCAATCAGTAACCCTACTCTTTTATATATATAGATTACAATACAATTACAAATTATATTCTAACTTAATTTACCGAGCAGGGTGACGATGACCATACGCCCGTTGTAGTGTAGCAGACCAGAGTCTCTGGTAGGAATCGAACCCACTAGCCTACCCGGCACCCTTTCTTATATCTTATCCGATAGTATCAATGCCTATTTATTGTCCTTTTTATACCCTACACCACTTTAGTGGTGTATCTCGACAAAAAGCGGCTCAATTAAATTTTATACTAGCCTTGAAGACCCTTTTGAATTTCGGGCCTCTTTTGACCCTAGCCCCCATACAAAGCCCCCTTCAAAAATGACTTTAATGTCTTTAATTCAGCATAAATACAATTTATGTAACCGTAAATTCATCATCCAAATTTTATGAGGATCGGCTCATATGAGGACTTGGGGGAAGCATATTTCAGAAAATTAGTTTTTTAACAATAAATTGCTTAAATATATCGGGGGCGAGGTACAACTCAACTCAAATGCTTTATTATGAAAACTACATCATAATTTCTTACTTGTTATTTTTAGATATCCGATAGTATCTATGTCTATTTATTGCCCTTTTTATTTTTGTTGATATTTCAACTTGTAAGTTAGAAGAGTCATCTTAAGTCTAAAAAATTACTCAATGAATAATGTAATTCGATTTAAAAAGAGGCCGAAATGTTTAAAATTTTCCGATCCTGCTTATTTTTTAATCAAAAACTATTAAAATTTCCTTATATAATTTTTTATAATGTATAAATTTAGCGGAAAAACACTTAAACTTCGGGATTTTATAATCCCGAAAATTCCAGGGAATTCATTTTTAAAAATCCCGGTTTTCGGTATTTGCAAATCCCAAAAATCCTGGGATTTTCGCGAATCGGGAATTCCCGTTTGGCATCCCTAGTTCTAGCTCAATTCTAGTTCAGTTCTAGTTAAGTTCTAGTTCAGTTCTAGTTCAGATCTAGGTGAGTTCTAGTTAAGTTCAGTTGTGAATGATAGTCTTATTATTAAAGAGCTTTTTTAATAACTTTTTCGTCAGCAGTTTTTTTTATTTCTTGTCATTTGGCATCTCTAATGTTTATTTATGTTTGTAATTAAAACGATCTGGCAATATCGCAACGACTCCATCATCTGTGACTTCGTGTTTTTATTTATTTCACAACAAAATAGAAGAAGAATTCTGCAATTCAGTTTTATTTTTCATTTGATGATAAACAAAAACAAACCGTGATTAAACAAAAATTTGAAAGAATATTCAAGAATAAATTTAAAAATTGCAGAGAACACGTCAAGAGAAGTTTAATAAAAGAGAAAATAGCAACAAATAGTTTTTGTTTTGCTTTACAAAAGAGTAAAAATTATTGCGTCTTTTCACACAGTCATCTACAATTTCATATAAAAACAACGAACAGAAACGAATTGTATTACAGTTTTGCAATAAAAGTTCAACAAAAAACACACAAATTATTCTACTAAAATAGCAAGCAGCAGTGTTGTAAGAAGTTAAAAAAAGCAGGCAGACATTTTGTGTAAAGTGCTAAAAGAAAAAACATATTAAAAGAAAATTTGTTACAAAGTTATAGAACATTTTGAGAAATTTGAAATTACAAACAAGTGTTTTGCATAAATAAATAAAAAAACTACAACATGGATCAACAATTCCTTAAGATTACATATCATTCGGGTGCCAAGAAAATGAATGCCTATTTGAAAATGCCTTCGCCCACTTATCATGTCCTCAAGAAGGAAATCGAAATGTGTTTGTTCGAGGAACGCAAACAACCGCGTTGTGAAATCCGCACCTATTGGATTGGTAAGTTTTATAAATTTTGTAAAAATCTCTCAAATTTGTTGAAATAATTAAAGATTTCGCAATTTTGTGCTGTTTTTCAAAGAAAATGCGTAGTTTCGCAATAAATTTACTGGATTAAGAGAATCCAGCACAAAAATGCAATATACCTATTATAAGAGAATTCTTGGGTAAAGAGAGTGGCTTGCCAAAAAGTGCAATCGAAATTTTAAGACAAATCTTCAAAATCCAAATAATTTTTTGGTTAAATTTAAAGATTTCATCATATCTATTTGAGAACATTTTATACAAATATGTTTGTATGTATGTAATTTCGCAATGCATGTACATACATGGCAAAGAGTATTTCCAAGAATTCTTAATGTAATGATTCCTCTTAAAGAATAGTCATAGTGCAGTCAAATTTAGTCTAAATTGGTGCAAACAAAGTAAAATAACATATGGAAAGTAGTCAGTACTTAAAGTTCATATTCTGGTTCAAGTTTAGTAATAGACTAGCATTTCTGGCATAATTCTAGTTTAGTTCAGTTCTATTTTTGTTATATTTCAGTTTTTTCCCCGTTTATAGTTCTAGATCAATTCTACTTCTGTTTAGGGTGTTGTTCCATTTCATTTGTATTTCAGTTCCAGCTAAATTCTGTATTAGTTCAGTTCTAGTTCAGATCTAGTTTGGTTCAGGTAAAATTCTACTTTAGATCGAGCTTAGTTCTAATTACGGTTCTATAAATCGACTTTCGAAAAAAGTCGAAAAGTCGAAGTCGATTATTTTGTTCCAAAAAAGTCGATAACTCGACTATCGTCTATGAAAAAGGTCGAAAAGTCGACTTTGTAAATAAAAGTCGAAAAGTCAAAAAATCGGAAAGTCGAAAAGTCGAAAAAAGTTGAAAAGTCGAAAAAAGTCGAAGAAAGTCGAAAAAAGTCGAAAAGTCGGAAAAAGTCAAAAAGTCGGAAAAAGTCGAAAAGAGTCGAAAATTTTAAAAAAGTGGAAAAGAGGTCAAAAACTCTAAAATAGTCAGAAAAACTCGAAAAAAAGTAAAAAAAATAGTCGAAAAAAGTCGAAAAAAGTCGAAATAAATCGAAAATAGTCAAAAAGTCGTAAAAAATCAAAAAGTCAAAAAGTCGGAAAAAGTCGAAAAAAGTCGAAAAAAGTCGAAAAGTCGAAAAAAGTCGGAAAAAGTCGAAAAGTCGACCATTTATAAAATACTAAAAGTCGAAAAGTCTAAAAGTCGACTTTTAAATAAATGAAAAAGGTCGAAAAGTCGAAAAATCGACTTTTCATAAAATGGAAAAAGTCGAAAGGTCGAAAAGTCGACTTTTAACTAAATGCAAAAAGTCGAAAAGTCGACTTTTCGTTTCAACTATAGAACCCTAGTTCTAATTCAGTTGTAGTTTAGTTTCAGATCGGTTCTAGCTCAGTTCTAGTTTAGTTCTTGTTCAGTTATTGTTTAGTTCAGTTTAATTCTAAATCCATTCTAGTTCATTTCTAGTTTTGATTTGGTTCAGTCGATTCTAGAAACACTTTTACTAAATATTTTTGATCTATTTTAAAAACAGTGTTCCCATGGGACCAAAGAAACACCTATTGATGACTCATAACTTATTTACAAATCTATTATAATTTTCAATTTCAACAAAGTGATAATAATTAATGGTCTAGTATGAGCAACATTTAATTGATAAAATGCTTTTTTTGTTAAAAAAAAGTATAATTTTAGTTTGTGGTTTTTGAAAGACTATATAAACTTTTGTTATTAATTTGTTTTGCTGTTTTCTTATATTTACAAACAAAACAAATACATACAACCTGTTTGGTACTTATTTTATATATAAAATGATAACGCTATTGTTTTCTTTTGTTTGGAACTACAAATATACGCGTTTTGTTGTTTTATTTTGCATTTACAATTGATTCATATTCAAATCTTTATATATATATACACAGAAAAAATTAATTTTAAAAAGTTTTCAATTAAACGATTAATCAAAAATTTTAAAAGGGTTCAATTCATTTTGTATTTGATTCATAAAAATGTATAATCAAATACGTATTTAACAACAACAAAAATAGAAAAAATAAAAATTTTGTGTACGAAATCAATTATTCTCTCTCTGGTTATTTTGCTTAATCATTGATTTTGTTATTTAAACAAGTGGTTAGTTCATTCTCTTTAGTTAATGCAATAACCGGTAGGAATTTAAATAATTTTATTTATTTGTTTATAAATGTCAAGAGAATAAGATATAAACTGAATTATAGAAGATATACATAAAACAAATTTATCACCTTTTTTTGTTACAGATGAGGATCAGGATGAAATTGAAATTGTTAATCAATGTGATTATGAAATTTTCATGGCGAAACGTTCTATACGCCAACACTTACAAGTCGCTCCTGTTGGTATGGAGACAGAGGATGAACCAAAAGTTGATGCTACTGTAACTGATGGTGTCACTAAAACTCCCCTAACCTCTAGTGAGTCGTCATCGGCTTCCCAACAAGCCAAGGTACCACCAGCTGCTGGTTCTTATGATTTTGCTGTACACGAGCATGTTGAATGTGATGCTTGTCTTATGGCACCTATTATGGGTTTCCGTTACAAGTGTATCCAATGTCCCAACTATGATTTATGTCAAAATTGTGAATCGAAACATATACACTCGGAACATATGATGGTACGCATGCCCACTAACAATTGTCCCAATGTTATTGAGGCCTATGTTACCGGTCGTACTTCACGTAGACATGGTAAACGTTCTAAGACTTCATGTCCATTCGTTAAAAATGGCATATCAGTTGTATTAGATGATGAAACTGAAACACCTAATGCTTCAAACGGTGAAGCAAATGAACAATCTACAGCTTCACCTGGTAATGGTAAAGAACAACGTCATCATGGCCGTAAACATCATCGTCGTCATCATCGTAATAACTTCTTTTCACACTTATATGAAATGATGCATGATTTGGCTGAGGGTGGTGGTGCTGCTGCAGCAGCTCATGCCATGGGTGAATCGCAGACATCTACTAAGTCTACTTCATCTACAACAGGTCCCCAAACGACCTCTACCACTACTACTACATCATCGAATACTGCAACTAATGTTCCCATCTTTACTACTCAAGAAAATCCTATTGCAGCCGCCGCTGCTGCTGCCGCCCATTTGGCAGCTCAACAAGCTCATGAAACTGCTATTAAAGCAGCTGAAATTGCTGCTAAAGTTGCTCATGAATCTGCTGTACAAGCAGCCAAAAATATTACTGAAAATATGGCAGGTCCTTCAGCTAGTGCCGCTGCTGCCAATATGACTGCAACTCCTTCAGCTTCAGCAGAGGGTGGTGAGCAAGCCAAGGAAACAACTAAAGAAAAGGTAAGTCATATACTTTCTTCTATTTATATTTTATTTCAATAAACATTTTCATCAAACATTAATTTTATAAAAAAATTCTTAAGAAAGTTATTTTCATAAGAAATATTTATTGCATTTCTCACTAAATAATTTTACTGAAAATTTTAACCAAAAATATCGCCAAAGTCGAACTTAACTAGGGCAGTACTAGAACAGAACTAGGGCAGAACTAGAACAGAACTAGAACAGAACTAGAACAGAACTAGAACAGAACTAGAACAGAACTAGAACAGAACTGGAACAGAACTAGAACAGAACTAGAACAGAACTAGAACAGAACTAGAACAGAACTAGAACAGAACTAGAACAGAACTGGAACAGAACTAGAACAGAACTAGAACAGAACTAGAACAGAACTAGAACAGAACTAGAACAGAACTAGAACAGAACTAGAACAGAACTAGAACAGAACTAGAACAGAACTAGAACAGAACTAGAACAGAACTAGAACAGAACTAGAACAGAACTAGAACAGAACTAGAACAGAACTGGAACAGAACTAGAACAGAACTAGAACAGAACTAGAACAGAACTAGAACAGAACTAGAACAGAACTAGAACAGAACTAGAATAGAACTAGAACACAACTAGAACAGAACTAGAACAGAACTAGAACAGAACTAGAACAGAACTAGAACTGAACTAGAACTGAACTAGAACTGAACTAGAACTGAACTAGAACTGTACTAGAACTGAACTAGAACTGAAATAGAAATGAACTAGAACTTAACTAGGACTTAACTAGAACTGAACTAGAACTAAACTAGAACTTAACTAAAATAAATTTTATAATAAAAATATTCACCAAAAGTGTTCACTAAAAGTTTTCACCTACAATTCGTTCAAAAAAAAAAATCACTAAAATCGTTAAATTTCATCAAAAATTCATTCCACATAAAATGTTCAAGAAAAAAGATTACTTACTACGAAAATGTGTTTAAATTTCGTTCAATAAGGTTGATACCACTACATCATCCAACGAAGCACAACCCAATGTGGTACCCGTTTTGCCATCACCTTCTTTGGAAAGTTTGGCACAATTCCTTGATCCCCAGTACATGAAGACTGGCATACAAATTTTAAATAACTTTAGCGATATGTTTGCTAAAATGTTAGATCCCATGGAAAATGTTGATGGCGATAATCAGATTTATCCAAATTTACGTAAAAACTCAACGACATCATCTACAAAATCTTCAGTCTCCTCAAACCTCAATAGTTTGGGAACTGACAAGAAGAACGCAAGCGAAAAATTCATCGAAAAGGAACAGCAGCAACAAGCTAAGGAAACAAACAAACAACCCGAAAGTGATGTTTCATCGCATGTGGAAATTGATGATTTGGGCAGTGATAGTGAAAATGATAGTGTTTCTGAGTCTTTCATCAAGTTGGATGCACCCAAAGAAGCCAATGTGGCCACAACACCCTCTAATTCTCCTTCTGATAAATCACCTTCTGCAGCTAACTCAGCTCAGACTACACCACCACAATCGTTGGATAAATCAAAGGTTATGGATTTTGCTCAATTAAGTGCTGACTTAAAGGCCCATATTGCTCAAGAAGCAGCCAAGGAATCGGAAACCCCTAAGGAAACTGCAAATACTACAGATTCAGCTGTTAATACAAACACTATAACTTCTACCACTACTGCTAGCGAACCAGTAGTTACTACTACTTCGACTTCTACTACTACTACTGCAACTAACACCGCTACACCCAATAAACCCGAGGAAAAGCGTGCTGTACCCGTTTATCATACCGGTGAGTTAGGCTGTAAAAATCAAGAACTTAAGAAAAAAATCTAATACAAATTTTCTAAAAAAAACAGATCAACGTATTAACAACGCTGTCCATGCTATGATGTCTATGGGTTTCAGTAATGAGGGCGCCTGGTTAACACAACTATTGGAAAGTGTTAATGGCAATATACCCGAAGCTTTGGACCTTATGTCTGTGGCTCAACGTGGTGGTAGCCGTTAAAATATTTTACATTTTCTTATTTGTATCTCTATTTTTTTTTTATAAATATTAAGCTGGAGTGGTTTATTCAAACTCTCTAATACTTCAAAGAATTATAAATTTTTAGTTATAGTTTTTGTTTTCGATATGTGGGTCCTTAGGGAACCATATTTTTTTTATTTTTCAATTATTCACATTACTATATATGTAATTAGTTTGTAGTTTAATATGATATATAATCAATCATTCAAATATATTTATGTCAATATAAATGTGTTAACACAAAATATTAATTACAGTGTTCGTGGAAGACTTAGCTTTCCAGGTTCACTAATACAATAAACGCATATTAATCGACAAAATTTTAAAAGTTTTATTATTTAAAAAATAGAATTTCCAGACTATCTTTAAACCAGATTATAGTCTATTTTACAATCCAGATTATAGTCTATAGTATAGTCCAAACGATGGTCTATACTATAGATCAGAACTAGAACTGAACTGAACTAGATCTGAACTAAAACAGAACTAGAAATGAACTAAAACAGAACTAGAACTGAACTAGAGCTGAACTTGTACTGCACTAGAACTAAACTAGAACAGAACTAGATCAGAAATAGAACAGAACTATAACAGAACTAGAACTGAACTTGTACTGAACTAGAACTGAACTAGATCAGAACTAGTACAGAACTAGAATTAGAACTGAACTAGAACTTAACTAGAACTAAAATAGAACTGAACTAAAACAGAACTTGTACAGAACAAGAATTAGAACTGATCTAGAACTTAACTTGAACTAAACTAGAACTGAACTTGACCTGAATTTGAACTGAACTTGAACAGAAGTAGAACAGAACTAGAACAGAATTAGAAGAGAACTAGAACTGAACTCGAACTGAACTAGAACTAGAACTGAACTAGAACAGAACTAGAACTTAACTAGAACTGAACTAGAACAGAACCTGTACGGAACTAGAATTAGAACTGAACTAGAACTGAACTAGAACTAAACTAGAACTGAACTAGAACTGAACTAGAACTGAACTAGAACTGAACTAGAACTGAACTAGAACTGAACTAGAACTGAACTAGAACTTAACTAGAACTAAACTAGAACTAGAACTGAACGAGAACTTAACTCGAACTGAACTAAAACTTAATTAGAAATGAAATAGAGCTGAACTAGAACATGAACTGAATTTGAACTGAAATAGAACTGAGCCAGAATTGGATTAAACAGGAACTATAGCTCAACTGGAACTGAACTCGAATTTAACTACAACTGAACTAAAACTGAATTAGAACTGAAATAGACCTAAACCAGAACTGAACAAGAACAGAACTAGTACAGAACTAGAACAGAACTCGAACAGAACTAGAACTGAACTAGAACAGAAATAGAACAGAACTAGAACAGAACTAGAACAAAACTAGAACTGAACTAGAACAAAACTAGAACATAACTATAACAGAACCAGAACTAGAACAGAACTAGAACAGAACTAGAACTGAACTAGAACTGAACTAGAACAGAACTAGAACATAACTAGAACAGAACTAGAACAGAACTAGAACTGAACTAGAACTGAACTAGAACTGAACTAGAACTGAACTAGAACTGAACTAGAACTGAACTAGAACAGAACTAGAACTCACATAGAACTAAACTAGAGCTTAACTAGAACTGAACTGAACTGAACTAGAACAGAACTAGAACTTAACTCGAACTGAACTACGGCTGAATTAGAACTGAAATAGAGCTGAATTAGAACTTGAACTGAAATAGAACTGAGCCTGAATTGGATTAAACAGGAACTAGAGCTTAACTAGAACTGATCTGATCTAGAAGTGAACTCGAACTTAACTACAACTAAACTAAAACTGAATTAGAACTGAAATAGAGCTAAACTAGATCGTGAACTGAATAAGAACTGAGCCAGAATTGGATTTAACAGGACTAAAACATAACTAAAACTGAACTGCAACCGAACTAAATGTGAACTAAAACCAAACTAGAATTTAACTAGAACTGAACTAAAATTAAACTTGAACTGAACTATAGTTGAACTAGAGCAGATCTAGACGTTAACTAAATCTGAACTAGAACCAAACTTGAACTGAACTATAGTGCAGACTTATAGTCTAAAGCTTAGACTCTAAACTATAAAAAATAGCATTAAATAAATACTCTTAGCTTATTAAACATGTTTTTACATAAATAAATTTATTCAACTAAAACTTTAATAACTAGAAAAAATACTATAACAATATCCTTAAAAAACAATAAAATATATTCTAATAATTTCACAGAGATTCATTAAACATTAATTTGCTTAACTTAAATAGAAATAATTTCAATGGTCCAATTACACTTAAAGCTAAAATCACAATTGTAAAAAATTTATATAAATGTTTTTCCTTAAGCGAAAAATTGCGATTAAAGAAACCAGTCTCATAGCCATAAAATTGACACAACATGCCGATAATAAAAGTGGCCAAACCCAAAAAGCCATGCATTAAACGTATACTACCCAAGGAGGCAGGATAGAAGAGACTAACAAGGCCGCTCACAAAATTAATAGCGCACAATATGCAAGCTGCCAGACCTATTAAATGAAAGTTATTGAGAAAAAACGTTAATAAATTAATTACGTTTCACTATTTTTTTTTGAAAACTTACCCAATTTGGCATGAATTGATTTAAAATGTGTCTCTTTGCCCCAGTATTTTTGTAATGTTCCACCAATGCCCAAAGAACCACCCACAAATTGCAATAGACCATGTATTAGGTTTTTAGTGGAGGAAGACATGTATTGATTAAGCAATAAATTGCCCGGATAACGCACCATCATACCCTCGGCCATTAAAAGAACAAACTAGTGTTTGAACAAATAATACATTAGTGAAAAAAACTTTAATTAATAGATTGAAATACTTACTCCCATTGTACACAGATGAGCATGCAGAGCGGTCTTTTTAAATTCCAATAACCAACATTTATAAGCCATTGCAAGAGTTAGCACCACTATGATAATATGATTGAAAAGATTCATGCCAAAGATGAGTGAATGTCGAAGATTTTGTGTCGACTGATTGGGTGATGAATGGAAAACATCTTCGTGGGATTTGAAGAGGAAATTGTCCAAAGAAATTGTGTTGAAAACTGTAAGGGGAATGAAGTTAGAGAAATTTAGTTAGTTAGAGAAAAAGAACTAAAAATCGAAACTAAATTACAGGTCTAGTCTAGTCTATAGTCTAGTCTATAGTCTAGTCTATAGTCTAGTCTATAGTCTAGTCTATAGTCTAGTCTAGTCTAGTCTAGTCTAGTCTATAGTCTAGTCTATAGTCTAGTCTATAGTATAGTCTATAGTCTAGTCTATAGTCTAGTCTATAGTCTATCTATAGTCTAGTCTATAGTCTAGTCTATAGTCTAGTCTATAGTCTAGTCTATAGTCTAGTCTATAGTCTAGTCTAGTCTAGTCTATAGTCTAGTCTATAGTCTAGTCTATAGTCTAGTCTATAGTCTAGTCTATAGCTAGTCTAGTCTATAGTCTAGTCTATAGTCTAGTCTATAGGCTAGTCTATAGCTAGTCTATAGTCTAGTCTATAGTCTAGTCTATAGTCTAGTCTATAGTCTAGTCTATAGTCTAGTCTATAGTCTAGTCTATAGTCTAGTCTATAGTCTAGTCTATAGTCTAGTCTATAGTCTAGTCTATAGTCTAGTCTATAGTCTAGTCTATAGTCTAGTCTATAGTCTAGTCTATAGTCTAGTCTATAGTCTAGTCTATAGTCTAGTCTATAGTCTAGTCTATAGTCTAGTCTATAGTCTAGTCTATAGTCTAGTCTATAGTCTAGTCTATAGTCTAGTCTATAGTCTAGTCTATAGTCTAGTCTATAGTCTAGTCTATAGTCTAGTCTATAGTCTAGTCTATAGTCTAGTCTATAGTCTAGTCTATAGTCTAGTCTATAGTCTAGTCTATAGTCTAGTCTATAGTCTAGTCTATAGTCTAGTCTATAGTCTAGTCTATAGTCTAGTCTATAGTCTAGTCTATAGTCTAGTCTATAGTCTAGTCTATAGTCTAGTCTATAGTCTAGTCTATAGTCTAGTCTATAGTCTAGTCTATAGTCTAGTCTATAGTCTAGTCTATAGTCTAGTCTATAGTCTAGTCTATAGTCTAGTCTATAGTCTAGTCTATAGTCTAGTATATAGTCTAGTCTATAGTCTAGTCTATAGTCTAGTCTATAGTCTAGTCTATAGTCTAGTCTATAGTCTAGTCTATAGTCTAGTCTATAGTCTAGTCTATAGTCTAGTCTATAGTCTAGTCTATAGTCTAGTCTATAGTCTAGTCTATAGTCTAGTCTATAGTCTAGTCTATAGTCTAGTCTATAGTCTAGTCTATAGTCTAGTCTATAGTCTAGTCTATAGTCTAGTCTATAGTCTAGTCTATAGTCTAGTCTATAGTCTAGTCTATAGTCTAGTCTATAGTCTAGTCTATAGTCTAGTCTATAGTCTAGTCTATAGTCTAGTCTATAGTCTAGTATATAGTCTAGTCTATAGTCTAGTCTATAGTCTAGTCTATAGTCTAGTCTATAGTCTAGTCTATAGTCTAGTCTATAGTCTAGTCTATAGTCTAATCTATAGTCTGGACTATAGTCTAGTCTATAGTCTAATCTATAGTCTGGACTATAGTCCAGTCTATAGTCTGGACAATAGTTTAGTCTTTAGTCTGGACTATATAGTCTATACTATAGACTCTATAGTCTTTTCAATAGCCTAGACTATAGTCTTGTCTATAGTTTAGTTTTTAGTCTAGTCTATAGACTAGTCTATAGTCTAGTCTATAGTCTAGTCTAAAGTCTAGTCTATAGTCTAGTCTATAGTCTAGTCTATAGTCTAGTCTATAGTCTAGTCTAGTCTATAGTCTAGTCTATAGTCTAGTCTATAGTCTAGTCTATAGTCTAGTCTATAGTCTAGTCTATAGTCTAGTCTATAGTCTAGTCTATAGTCTAGTCTATAGTCTAGTCTATAGTCTAGTCTATAGTCTAGTCTAAAGTCTAGACTATAGTCTATTCTAAATTATAGTCCATAGTCTAATCTTCACTATAGTCTAGTCTGTAGTCTAGTCTTTAATATTGACTATAGTCTAGTATATGTATAGTCTGGACTATAGTCCAGTCTATAGTCTGATCTATAGTCTAATCTATAGTCTGTACTATAGTCTAGTCTGGACTATAGTCTATATTCTGGTTTTTAGTCTAGTTTATAGTCTGGACTATAGTCTAGTCTATAGTCTATTCTATAGTCTAGTCTATAGTCTAGTCTATAGACTAGTCTATAGTCTAGGCTATAGCCTAGTCTATAGTCTAGTCTATAGTCTAGTCTATAGTCTAGTCTAGTCTATAGCCTATTCTATAGCCTAGTCTATAGTCTAGACTATAGTTTAGTCTATAGTCTAGTCTATAGTTTAGTCTATAGTCTAGTCTATAGTCTAGTCTATAGTCTAGTCCATAGTCTAGTCTATAGTCTAGTCCATAGTCTAGTCTGGACAATAGTTTAGTCTTCAGTCTGGACTATAGTCTACAGTCTTTTCAGTAGTCTAGACTACAGTCTATAGTTTAGTTTTTAGTCTATAGCTTAGTCTATGGCCTAGTCTATAGTCTAGCCTAAAGTCTAGTCTATTGTCTAGCCTACAGTCTAGTCTATAGTTTAGTCTATAGTCTAGTCTATAGTGTAGCATATAGTCTAGTCAATAGTTTATAATTTCACAAAGATTTTACAGTGTTTAGGAGGATTACAGCAAAAATATTTTTATTTTTAAAAATGTTCATATTTTGACGTAATCGTGTAGCGCGCAAACTGTGTTTGTCGCCAACAAATTGTCTTCAATGTGACACCAAAAGAAAACTGAATTTTTTAAACAGAAATAAGAATACTTTTGTCAAACCACTGGGTTTTTTTATACTAAATATTTTTGTTTTGAAAATGGTCGTAAATTTTAACTGGTATTTGAAACTGAAGTATGTTGTTAATTTAATTAAATGATCTTGCTTTAGACAGTTTTCCCTAAAAGTTTATTTAATAGGTATTTATACCCTACACCACTTTAGTGGGGAGGGTATATTGGATTTGTGCTGATGTTTGTAACATACAAAAATATTCGTCCCAGACCCACCTTAAAGTATACCAATCGGCTTAGAATCGTTTTCTGAGTCGATTAAGCAATGTCCGTCCGTCCGTCCGTCCGTCCGTCTGGCTGGCTGGCTGGCTGGCTGGCTGTCCATGTAAACCTTGTGCGCAAGATACAGGTCGCAATTTTCAAGATAATTGGATGAAATTTGGCACGCACGTTTTATTTGACCTAAGGACGAAGCCTATTGAAAATGGTTAAAATCGGTCCATTATTTCACCTAGCCCCCATACAACAGAACCCCCCGAAAAGGGCTTCTGAGCTCATAATTATGTTAAATATACAGATATATCGATAAAATACGGCACAACTAAGTTTTATAGAAGTCTTGATGACCCTGCCAAATTTCATAAAGATCGGGCCACATTTGACCCTAGCTCCCATACAAAGTCCCCTTCAGAAAATTACTTGAATGTCCCAAATTAGATTATAAACACAAATATCGCGATGAAATTCAGCACAATAAAATATTATGTCAATATAAATATATCCACAAAATTTTTTCGGGCTTGGTCCATATTTGCCCCTAGCCCCCATATAAAGCCTCTTTCAGAAAATTAGTTTTTCATCCATAAATTGCTTAAATGTATCGGAACAAGGGAATATTGAAGATAAATGCTTTATTATGAAAAATAAATCGCATTTAATATTCATAACTGGTGTAGGGTATCATATGGTCGGCCACGCCCGACTATAATTTCTTACTTGTTTTTATTTGATTTAGTTAATGAGAACTAAATATTCTCAGAATAAAATGTTTTATCTTTTTGAGCCAACAACAAAATAAATAGATCTATTGATCATTGTTTTTCAGAGAAAATATATAGGTATAGAGGACCGGTATTTCACAACTAAAACACTTTCACAGAATCTTATTTATGTACATATTTAAATATATATATATTGTTTTCTTTATTTGTTGCAAAATTAGAATAGATTTATGCACGATCGCTCGATCACAAAAGCTTTTTGTTGTATTTTCACAAACTTAATAAAATAAATGGAAAAAGATCACTTTTTATCTTACCATCATAATTATTACAAGACATTTTCTTTATTTAGTTATTTATTGTATTATTTTTTTTAATAAAAAGTATTTGAGAACACTTATTGTTTATCACAGTTAATTTATATCTTAAAAAAAATCACTTAAGTTTTAAGTTTTGCAAAAATTTTAAATTTTCAAGTCAAGTTAATTCCTCTTGATCCAACCGCACGCTTTGACATTTGCTTAACTAATGATTTTTGTTCTTGTTATCGTCCATAACGGATTGAGAAACGAATGTTGAAAATCACATTTAAACATTTGTGCTCGGGTATTTAACAAAAAATACAATTCCACAAAAAGCTTTTCCTGTTTAACCTTAAACTAGTATTAAATTTAAAGGTTTTAATTGTTGTAAGCTGAAAACCCAAACAAAATTGTTTATAAACAATCCTCTACAAATCGAATATTAAAAAAAAATAAATCACGCGAATAAAACGTTTGGTGTTTTTGTTGTTTCTTTTTTACACATAATTAATAAGCTTTTTGTTTTTATATGACGTCAAAAAATATTTAATTTTGTTATGTTTTAATGTAGATCCCCCAGCAAAAACACATTAAAGCTTTTTTTTTCTTTTTTTTTTTTGCACGAAAAAATATTGGATACAGTTTATTTTATATGAATCATTTACACGTTTTAAGGGAAGAGTACACACTGTTAATGAGAATGTAAAGCGTTCAAAATGTTTGCCTACAGTAAGTGTCTTTTGTAGTATATCTGGTTATCTGTAGACGTTAAGTGTCTCAGATAAGATAATGCCACTTAGCCCCATTCTTAGTAAGATCATAATGTCAATACATTTTATAACAGAAGATAACTTTTCTAAAGATATTAACAACATTTGCATGGACTAGCTATAGTCCCGACAGACTATGGTTCAGACTATAGAATAAACTATGGTCCATACTATAGACTAGATTCGAGTCCTGACTGTCGACTGGAATATAGTCCAAACGGTAGACTAGCCTGTAGTTCAGACTATAGACTAGACTATTGATTAGACCGTAGTTCACACTATAGAATAGACTTCAGTCGAGGCTTGGCTATAGTCCATACAATACCCCAGGCTATAGACCAGACTATAGGCTAGATTATAGTCCAGAATATAGACTAGATAAAAGTCCAGACTATACTATAGTCCAGACTATAGACTAGACTATAGACTAGACTATAGACTAGGCTATAGACTAGACTATAGACTAGACTATAGACTAGACTATACACCAGACTATAGACTAGACTATAGACTATAAACTAGACTATAGACTAACTAGACTAGACTATAGACTAGACTATAGACTAGACTATAGACTAGACTATAGACTAGTCTATAGACTATAGACTAGACTATAGACTAGACTATAGACTAGACTATAGACTAGACTATAGACTAGACTATAGACTAGACTATAGACTAGACTATAGACTAGACTATAGACTAGACTATAGACTAGACTATAGACTAGACTATAGACTAGACTATAGACTAGACTATAGACTAGACTATAGACTAGACTATAGACTAGACTATAGACTAGACTATAGACTAGACTATAGACTAGACTATAGACTAGACTATAGACTAGACTATAGACTAGACTATAGACTAGACTATAGACTAGACTATAGACTAGACTATAGACTAGACTATAGACTAGACTATAGACTAGACTATAGACTAGACTATAGACTAGACTATAGACTAGACTATAGACTAGACTATAGACTAGACTATAGACTAGACTATAGACTAGACTAGACTAGACTATAGACTAGACTATAGACTAGACTATAGACTAGACTATAGACTAGACTATAGACTAGACTATAGACTAGACTATAGACTAGACTATAGACTAGACTATAGACTAGACTATAGACTAGACTATAGACTAGACTATAGACTAGACTATAGACTAGACTATAGACTAGACTATAGACTAGACTATAGACTAGACTAGACTATAGACTAGACTATAGACTAGACTATAGACTAGACTAGACTATAGACTAGACTATAGACTAGACTATAGACTAGACTATAGACTAGACTATAGACTAGACTATAGACTAGACTATAGACTAGACTATAGACTAGACTATAGACTAGACTATGGACTAGACTATAGACTAGACTATAGACTAGACTATAGACTAGACTATAGACTAGACTATAGGACTAGACTATAGACTAGACTATAGACTAGACTATAGACTAGACTATAGACTAGACTATAGAATAGACTATAGACTAGACTATAGACTAGACTATAGGCTAGACTATAGACTAGACTATAGACTAGACTATAGACTAGACTATAGACTAGACTATAGACTAGACTATAGACTAGACTATAGACTAGACTATAGACTAGACTATAGACTAGACTATAGACTAGACTATAGACTAGACTATAGACTAGACTATAGACTAGACTATAGACTAGACTATAGACTAGACTATAGACTAGACTATAGACTAGACTATAGACTAGACTATAGACTAGACTATAGACTAGACTATAGACTAGACTATAGACTAGACTATAGACTAGACTATAGACTAGACTATAGACTAGACTATAGACTAGACTATAGACTAGACTATAGACTAGACTATAGACTAGACTATAGACTAGACTATAGACTAGACTATAGACTACTATAGACTAGACTATAGACTAGACTAGACTAGACTATAGACTAGACGTTCGACTAGACTTTCGACTAGACTTTCGACTAGACTATAGACTAGACTATATTCTAGAATATATCGTCCAGACTAAGAACTAGATTATATACCGGAATATATACTAAATTAAGGAATATAGACTGAACATAGTCCACTAAAGTCCACATTATAGACAAGGCTCTAGTCCGGACTATAGACTGGAGTATAATCCAGACTATAGTCCAGACTAAAGGCTATATTATAGACCAGAATATAGACTTGGCCATAGTCCTGACTATAGAATATATAGTCCAAACTATTTACTAACAATAGACTACACTAAAGCCTAGGCTATAGACTAGACTATAGACAAGACTATAGACTATATTGTAGTCCAGAATTTACGCTAGACTATAGACTATAATGTAGTCCTGGTTTGACAAGCTATAGACTATACTATAGTCCAGAATATAGACAAAACAATAGTCCATAGTAAAGACTATCGATCATTTTCGTAATCAATCGGTTGATGAAATTTTCTTTACAACATTTTTCATATATCGATCGTCAAAGATTCTCTACAGATTGTTTTTCATTCAGCGATCATTAACAATTGTCTATTAGAAATTTTCTAGTTAACTGATCGTTTCGTTGATCAGTGATCAGTAGAATATACTATAGAAATGTTTATCTCTTAATAATCTGTTTAGGGAACGATCGTTTCCTCGATCAGCAAAATTTCCTAGATTTTTTTTAGCTTAAACAAACGAGTATGGTTTATAATATAATTTTTTTAATTGAACGTTTAAGTTATCGACAATTTAGTTTTTAACACCTTCAAAATGTTAACTCATTTGTAAAGAAAAGTTTTGATAAGGCTGATTAAAATTCTTTTAATTGTTATTATATGTATTACAAGTTATTGAACCATTAAATTGATTATTTATTTAAACAAAATTACAAACTTTTTTGATTTAATAAATATTGTTAATGATTTATTATCATACGATACTTAATTAGTATTTTATTTTTTTGTAATTTTATTAGTCATAAGATATTCAAACGAAACCGTAAGGGGCTGGCAAATTCTGAACCGCAAAAATATAAAACAATGACTTTAAAGTTTAAACTACATACATAAATATTGAAAAACACAAAAAAAAGTAAAAGTATATTGGCGATCATTGCCAAATAATAATAAAAAAACGATAAACAATTAAATAAACTTCAAGTTGAAAAAAACGTTACAAAAATGTTTAAATTTTCTGATATACTATAAGTAATTAGGAAACACCTGTCTATATATAAATTGTTATAATTATAACATAAATATTTAAATAAGTTACGTTAGGTTAAAATTATGGTTTTGATTTTTGTTCTATTTTAAAACAATTTTCATTCCAAAACGTTTCCAAACAAAAAGTATTAGTTAATGTTGGTGAAACGAAGTTTTATCGTAAAACTTGAAGGTAAATTTAAAAGTTCAATAGAACTTTTGATACTTTATAAAGAAATGTACTAATGGTTTTATATTCTATAGTCTGCACTATTATTTTGTCTATGGTCAGGACTATAGTCTGCACTAACTATTATCTAGTCCATGATCTGGACTAGATTATTGTCTAGTCTACTGTCTGCACTATAGTCTAGGACATAGTCTGAACTATAGCCTAGTCTATAGTGTGAACTATAGTCTGGACTATAGTCTAGTCTATAGTTTGGACTATAGTGTAGTATAAAGTCCGGATCAGTCTATAGACTATAGATCTAGTTCTAGTCTAGAACTATAGTCTAGTGACAAGACTATAGTTCAGACGATAGGCTAGACGATAGTAAAGTCTATAGACTAGGCTATAATCCACTATAGAGTAGCTCAGACTATAGACTAGTCTAGTCTGAACTATAGTCTAGTCTATAGTCTGAACTATAGTCTGACTACAGCCTCTTCTATGTTCTGGACTAGTCTACTCTTTAGTCTCGACTATAGTGCAGTATATGGTCTGTACTAGTCTGAACTATTGTCTATTCTATAGTTTTAACTATAGTCTGGTCTATAGACTAGTCTATAGTCTGGTCTATAGTCTAGTCTATAGTCCGGTCTATAGTCTAGTCTATAGTCTGGTCTACAGTCTAGTCTATAGTCTGGTCTATAGTCTAGTCTATAGTCTGGTCTATAGTCTAGTCTACAGTCTAGTCTAGTGCAGTCTATAGTATAGTCTATAGTCTAGTCCATAGTCTAGTCTATAGTCTAGTCTATAGTCTAGTCTATAGTCTAGTCTATAGTGTAGTCTATAGTCTAGTCTATAGTCTAGTCTATAGTCTAGTCTATTCTAGTCTAGTCTAGTCTATAGTCTAGTCTATAGTCTAGTCTAGTCTATAGTCTAGTCTATAGTCTAGTCTATAGTCTAGTCTATAGTCTAGTCTAGTCTATAGTCTAGTCTAGTCTATAGTCTAGTCTATAGTCTAGTCTATAGTCTAGTCTATAGTCTAGTCTAGTCTATAGTCTAGTCTATAGTCTAGTCTATAGTCTAGTCTATAGTGTAGTCTATAGTCCAGTCTATAGTCTAGTCTATAGTCTAGTCTATAGTCTAGTCTATAGTCTAGTCTATAGTCTATAGTCTAGTCTATAGTCTAGTCTATAGTCTAGTCTATAGTCTAGTCTATAGTCTAGTCTATAGTCTAGTCTATAGTCTAGTCTATAGTCTAGTCTATAGTCTAGTCTATAGTCTAGTCTATAGTCTAGTCTATAGTCTAGTCTATAGTCTAGTCTATAGTCTAGTCTATAGTCTAGTCTATAGTCTAGTCTATAGTCTAGTCTATAGTCTAGTCTATAGTCTAGTCTATAGTATAGTCTATAGTGTAGTCTATAGTCTAGTCTATAGTCTAGTCGATCTCTAAAATTCAACTTCCTTTTCATTTATTAACAATTGTATAATACTGCAACAATTATTTAGTATATAGTTATTAAATAAACCTTTTATTGCCAGTTCCATTATGGCCTTCAGTGTTTCTATTCTTTTACCCTCAAACAGAAGGTTCTCTGAACTTCAAAACTGATATCTATCTGTATCTAGTCATTGTTCTGCCATGTTTGCTAAAACGTCATAATTTCTAATGTATTATTAAAATAATGGTTTGTTATAAATATTTTGGCTTAAAAAAGCTTTCGAAAATAATACATTATAACATGTAAGTAATTCTTATCAATTGTACGTGATGTTAGTAGAACAAAACATATCGATAAAAATGTTTAAACACTTTAAAATTATAATAGAATTGACTATTCTGGTTAGCTTTTTTTATTTGTTGAAAATCTAATAATATTCTTAAGTTCATATTTCAATAGAAAAAATGTTTGTGCATATTTTTATGAAAAAAAAAAAACTTATCTATAGATTTGCCTAGTAACTAGACTATAGACTAGACTATAGACCAGACTATAGACCAGACTATAGACTAGACTATAGACTAGACTATAGACTAGACTATAGACTAGACTATAGACTAGACTATAGACTAGACTATAGACTAGACTATAGACTAGACTATAGACTAGACTATAGAATAGACTATAGACTAGACTATAGACTAGACTATAGACTAGACTATAGACTAGACTATAGACTAGACTATAGACTAGACTATAGACTAGACTATAGACTAGACTATAGACTAGACTATAGACTAGACTATAGACTAGACTATAGACTAGACTATAGACTAGACTATAGACTAGACTATAGACTAGACTATAGACTAGACTATAGACTAGACTATAGACTAGACTATAGACTAGACTATAGACTAGACTATAGACTAGACTATAGACTAGACCTATAGACTAGACTATAGACTAGACTATAGACTAGACTATAGACTTAGACTATAGACTAGGCTATAGACTAGACTATAGACTAGACTATAGACTAGACGATGACTACTATAGACTAGACAGAACTAGACTATAGACTAGACTATAGACTAGACTAGAGACTAGACTATAGACTAGACAATACTAGACTATAGACTAGACTATAGACTACTATGACATACTATAGAACTAGACTATAGACTATACTATAGACTAGAACTATAGACCTAGACTATAGACTAGACTATAACGAGACTATAGACTAGACTATAGACTAGACCGATAGACCTAGACTATAGACTAGACTATAGACTGAGACTATAGACACAGACTATAGACTAGACTATAAGACTAGACTATAGACTAGACTATAGACTATAGACTAGACTAGACTAGACTATAGGACTAAGACTAGATGACTTAGACTAGAAGGACTAGACTATAGACCTAGACTATAGACTAGACTAACGAACTAATGACTAGACTATAGACTAGACTATAGACTAGACTATAGACTAGACTATAGACTAGACTATAATAGACTAGACACAGACTATAGACTAGAACTATAGAATAGACTACTAGACTAGACTATAGACTAGACTATGGACTAGACTATGGACTAGACTATGGACTAGACTATAGACTAGACTATAGACTAGACTATAGACTAGACTATAAACTAGACTATAAACTAGACTATAGACTAGACCAGACTATAGACTAGACCAGACTATAGACTAGACTATAGACTAGACCAGACTATAGACTAGACTATAGACTAGACCAGACTATAGACTAGACCAGACTATAGACTAGACCAGACTATAGACTAGACTATAGACTAGACTATAGACTAGACTATAGACTAGACTATAGACTAGACTATAGACTAGACTATAGACTAGACTATAGACTATACTATAGGCTAGACTATAGACTAGGCTATAGACTAGACTATAGACTAGACTATAGACTAGACTATAGACTAGACTATAGACTAGACTATAGACTAGACTATAGACTAGACTATAGAGTAGACTATAGACTAGACTATAGACTAGACTATAGACTAGACTATGGACTAGACCAGACTATAGACTAGACTATAGACTAGATTATAGACTAGACTATAGACTAGAATATAGAGAGGACTATAGACTAGACTATAGAGTAGACTATAGACTAGACTATAGACTAGACTATAGACTAGACTATAGACTAGACTATAGACTAGATTATAGACTAGACTATAGACTAGACTATAGACTAGACTATAGACTAGACTATTGACTAGACTATAGACTAGACTATAGACTAGACTATAGACTAGACTATAGACTAGACTATAGACTAGACTATAGACTAGACTATAGACTAGACTATAGACTAGACTATAGACTAGACTATAGACTAGACTATAGACTAGACTATAGACTAGACTATAGACTAGACTATAGACTAGACTATAGACTAGACTATAGACTAGACTATAGACTAGACTATAGACTAGACTATAGACTAGACTATAGACTAGGCTATAGTCTAGACTATAGGCTAGACTAAAGACTAGACTATAGACTAGACTATAGACTATACTATACTATAGACAGGATTATAAACTGAACTATACACTAGACTAGATTGTAATCCAGACTATAGATTAGACTAGACTATGTACCACTCTATAGACAAGATTATTGTCCAGCCTGTATACATATATCAGATTAAAGTTCAGATTATAGTCTACATAATATATCGATGTTTATTTAAATTTCATGCTACTGACATTTCTCTGCGTCTCCTATTGATTGTTGCACGATCTAAGATATAAGACTTCATTCAAACTGTTATGACTTTATTTTCAAATCACCTTTTGATTTTCAAAATTTTAAGGTCAATGTATGTATATGTAACCGAATAGCATTTTATAAAAACCACAAACTATTGTTTTGTCGCAAAAAAAAAAAATATAAAACGTAAAAATTTAAATAAAAAATAAAAATTAGTTTTTCATAGAATTCTACTATATACTCTGTGATCTGTTGAGAACGAATTAAAATACAGTTGTTTAAATATAAGAGAGTCTTATAATGTAATTTTGATAGATTAAAATACCCTCTAAGCTAATCTGAGAACTAATGGGCCCGTTATCAGTGTTATTTTATCGAAAAGTAGATCTGATTTTGAGTACTAGTAGATCAGTAAGTAGTTTATACAACCGGTTCTGAAAATTATATTATGTATGTACAGATTTTTTTGAGCCGATAGCAATTTAATCTCCTAAAAAATCGACCGTATGATTAGCCAATGTTCTAGAAAGCCAATGGTACATAAATTAGTCTTTCGTACCAACTTTTTGTACTACCAAATAGCCATCATCACAAGTCAATATTGCCCATCTGTTTGTTACAAATAAAACACTCTGGCTCTGAATTGCATTTCGATTAAAAGCATCTCTCAAAATTATCAAAATACAAAAACAAATAAAAACTGCATAAAAAAACTGGTACTTTTTTGCAAAAATACTAAATGAGCACAGATGTTTTTGCAATATATCAAATGTACAACAGTTTTATATTAGTATCAAGAATTAAAGGGTGTATTTCGTCGCTAAAGTGTTGTATTAAAATAAAGTCGTATTTAAATAAACAAATTTCCAAAGAAAATCCAAGTCTGATTAAGGAAAACAAAAAAAGGTTATAAATTTAAATGGTTATTTACATTATTATACTCTATATCGCAACGGGAAACCCCTTGAGAGTTTTTGATCAAAAAAGCAAAGTAAAACTGTATACAGTTCTAAGAATATACGATCTTGTGTTTTATGAAGAAATTTTATTTAAAATTACAATTCTCTGAAATAAAATTTTTTATTTGTTTATAAACTATTTAAAATAAGTTTTATTTTAAATAAAAATTCAAAAACCGGCTTAAGTTTAATTTCCGCCCAATTTTAAAATGTTGATGGAAACTTCAAAATTTCCGCCCAATTTTAAAATGTTGATGGAAACTTAAAAATTTGTGACTTGATCAATAATAATCATGCTTTCCTATAGTATATATACAGAAAAATTTTAAGATTAATATATCTACTACTCTTTCGGGAATCTGCTTTAATTAATTTAAACGAGTTAATTTATGTCTCAGAATTCAGACTAGTGCTGCTGTCTGCAAAGCGTTCTTCATATTCTCAATTGAGATTCTGAGAATAATGCCCGAGAACTCACAAAAAAACTTCTTATCAGATCAAAATGTTTTCAATAATTCTAGCTGTAGGATTCGTTATTCTAATCCTAAAGTTACACAAATTTACACAAGGACTGTTGAGGAACTGTTACAACAATAATCAACAGGAACTCGGGCTAGGTAGTTAGTTAGTTAGTTAGTTAGATAGATAGATAGATAGATAGATAGATAGATAGATAGATAGATAGATAGATAGATAGATAGATAGATAGATAGATAGATAGATAGATAGATAGATAGATAGATAGATAGATAGATAGATAGATAGATAGATAGATAGATAGATAGATAGATAGATAGATAGATAGATAGATAGATAGATAGATAGATAGATAGATAGATAGATAGATAGATAGATAGATAGATAGATAGATAGATAGATAGATAGATAGATAGATAGATAGATAGATAGATAGATAGATAGATAGATAGATAGATAGATAGATAGATAGATAGATAGATAGATAGATAGATAGATAGATAGATAGATAGATAGATAGATAGATAGATAGATAGATAGATAGATAGATAGATAGATAGATAGATAGATAGATAGATAGATAGATAGATAGATAGATAGATAGATAGATAGATAGATAGATAGATAGATAGATAGATAGATAGATAGATAGATAGATAGATAGATAGATAGATAGATAGATAGATAGATAGATAGATAGATAGATAGATAGATAGATAGATAGATAGATAGATAGATAGATAGATAGATAGATAGATAGATAGATAGATAGATAGATAGATAGATAGATAGATAGATAGATAGATAGATAGATAGATAGATAGATAGATAGATAGATAGATAGATAGATAGATAGATAGATAGATAGATAGATAGATAGATAGATAGATAGATAGATAGATAGATAGATAGATAGATAGATAGATAGATAGATAGATAGATAGATAGATAGATAGATAGATAGATAGATAGATAGATAGATAGATAGATAGATAGATAGATAGATAGATAGATAGATAGATAGATAGATAGATAGATAGATAGATATATAGATAGATAGATAGATAGATAGATAGATAGATAGATAGATAGATAGATAGATAGATAGATAGATAGATAAATAGATAGATAGATAGATAGATAGATAGATAGATAGATAGATAGATAGATAGATAGATAAATAAATAAATAACTGGATTCGCAATTGTTATCAATTATGCGGTTTTTGTTATATATTTTAAGCGATAACTGCTGAGGGGATGTTGATTTCTTGACGCCTTTCAGGGCCTTCAAAGGTTACAAATGTGAGGGTCACAGGTAGGCTGTAGTAGTCAAACTGGCATAGAACCAACGGGCAATGTTGTACCCCTAAATCACAATTACTACTAACAATTCATACTTACAATCATTGAATATATATTCGGTATTTCTTTTTTTAATCCAAGACCAAAAACTTTTCAAGTCATGTTGTATTTTGCTCACATTTAATAGTAAAATATTTGGACCGGCAAGCACAATATTTTATAATCTAGTATTTAAATTATAAACAATTCCCACTTGCACGTTTTTATTATCAAATCTACGAAAATATCTTTTCACACATTTATCAACAGATTACAATAAAAAAAACTTTAAGAAATTAAAAGAACCACTAGACATTTTGATAAAAATCGGGTTTAAACAAAAACAATTAGGCCAAAATTAATAACAATAAAGGTACTTAAATACATTTAGCATTTAAGAACAACAATTAATTAATTGAGTTTATAAAAATTTGAAATCAAAACAAAAATAATTACTGTTTAGAAAACCCCAAAATGAAATCATTAAATAGCGCTAGCAGTTAGTTCCACTCGAACCGATTGAGGTAGCACAACGTAAATTATTCATTTTTACTCGGAACTGGGCTTCATTAGAGGTTTAAAAGAGAAAAAAAAAACAAAATTTTCTCAAAATGCCTTCCGATACTAGGCCCATTATTGAACCGCGTCCATTGCATGCTGTCATTTTCGATCGTTTAGAAGTTATACTTAATATAATTAATCAAATGTGTATTGGTTTTGTAACGATCTATATAAGTTGGATGTATCTGCGCACAGGACTAGCTGGTACCGGTCTACATGCTTGGCTAACAACAATAGGAGTGAGTGAAGAAATGACATACAAATCGTTAGACCGATTATAGTATAGACCACTGTATTGACTATAGTATCGTCTGTAGTGTAGGCCACAGTCTTGACTTTACTCTTGACTATAGTATAGACTTTTGTTTTGACTATAGTCTCGACTAAAGTATAGACAACAGTATTGACTATAGTATAGATCACATTCTTAACTATAGCCGAGACTATAGTATAGACCACAGTCTTGACTATAGTCGAGACTATAGTATAGACCACAGTCTTGACTATAGTCGAGACTATAGTATAGACCACAGTCTTGACTATAGTCGAGACTATAGTATAGACCACAGTCTTGACTATAGTCGTGACTATAGTATAGTCCACAGTCTTGACTATAGTCGAGACTATAGTATAGACCACAGTCTTGACTATAGTCGAGATTATAGTATAGACCACAGTCTTGACTATAGAGCACATTCTTAACTATAGCCGAGACTATAGTATAGACCACAGTCTTGACTATAGTCGAGACTATAGTATAGACCACAGTCTTGACTATAGTCGAGATAGTCGAGATAGATAGATAGATAGATAGATAGATAGATAGATAGATAGATAGATAGATAGATAGATAGATAGATAGATAGATAGATAGATAGATAGATAGATAGATAGATAGATAGATAGATAGATAGATAGATAGATAGATAGATAGATAGATAGATAGATAGATAGATAGATAGATAGATAGATAGATAGATAGATAGATAGATAGATAGATAGATAGATAGATAGATAGATAGATAGATAGATAGATAGATAGATAGATAGATAGATAGATAGATAGATAGATAGATAGATAGATAGATAGATAGATAGATAGATAGATAGATAGATAGATAGATAGATAGATAGATAGATAGATAGATAGATAGATAGATAGATAGATAGATAGATAGATAGATAGATAGATAGATAGATAGATAGATAGATAGATAGATAGATAGATAGATAGATAGATAGATAGATAGATAGATAGATAGATAGATAGATAGATAGATAGATAGATAGATAGATAGATAGATAGATAGATAGATAGATAGATAGATAGATAGATAGATAGATAGATAGATAGATAGATAGATAGATAGATAGATAGATAGATAGATAGATAGATAGATAGATAGATAGATAGATAGATAGATAGATAGATAGATAGATAGATAGATAGATAGATAGATAGATAGATAGATAGATAATAGATAGATAGATAGATAGATAGATAGATAGATAGATAGATAGATAGATAGATAGATAGATAGATAGATAGATAGATAGATAGATAGATAGATAGATAGATAGATAGATAGATAGATAGATAGATAGATAGATAGATAGATAGATAGATAGATAGATAGATAGATAGATAGATAGATAGATAGATAAATAAATAAATAACTGGATTCGCAATTGTTATCAATTATGCGGTTTTTGTTATATATTTTAAGCGATAACTGCTGAGGGGATGTTGATTTCTTGACGCCTTTCAGGGCCTTCAAAGGTTACAAATGTGAGGGTCACAGGTAGGCTGTAGTAGTCAAACTGGCATAGAACCAACGGGCAATGTTGTACCCCTAAATCACAATTACTACTAACAATTCATACTTACAATCATTGAATATATATTCGGTATTTCTTTTTTTAATCCAAGACCAAAAACTTTTCAAGTCATGTTGTATTTTGCTCACATTTAATAGTAAAATATTTGGACCGGCAAGCACAATATTTTATAATCTAGTATTTAAATTATAAACAATTCCCACTTGCACGTTTTTATTATCAAATCTACGAAAATATCTTTTCACACATTTATCAACAGATTACAATAAAAAAAACTTTAAGAAATTAAAAGAACCACTAGACATTTTGATAAAAATCGGGTTTAAACAAAAACAATTAGGCCAAAATTAATAACAATAAAGGTACTTAAATACATTTAGCATTTAAGAACAACAATTAATTAATTGAGTTTATAAAAATTTGAAATCAAAACAAAAATAATTACTGTTTAGAAAACCCCAAAATGAAATCATTAAATAGCGCTAGCAGTTAGTTCCACTCGAACCGATTGAGGTAGCACAACGTAAATTATTCATTTTTACTCGGAACTGGGCTTCATTAGAGGTTTAAAAGAGAAAAAAAAAACAAAATTTTCTCAAAATGCCTTCCGATACTACGCCCATTATTGAACCGCGTCCATTGCATGCTGTCATTTTCGATCGTTTAGAAGTTATACTTAATATAATTAATCAAATGTGTATTGGTTTTGTAACGATCTATATAAGTTGGATGTATCTGCGCACAGGACTAGCTGGTACCGGTCTACATGCTTGGCTAACAACAATAGGAGTGAGTGAAGAAATGACATACAAATCGTTAGACCGATTATAGTATAGACCACTGTATTGACTATAGTATCGTCTGTAGTGTAGGCCACAGTCTTGACTTTACTCTTGACTATAGTATAGACTTTTGTTTTGACTATAGTCTCGACTAAAGTATAGACAACAGTATTGACTATAGTATAGATCACATTCTTAACTATAGCCGAGACTATAGTATAGACCACAGTCTTGACTATAGTCGAGACTATAGTATAGACCACAGTCTTGACTATAGTCGAGACTATAGTATAGACCACAGTCTTGACTATAGTCGAGACTATAGTATAGACCACAGTCTTGACTATAGTCGTGACTATAGTATAGTCCACAGTCTTGACTATAGTCGAGACTATAGTATAGACCACAGTCTTGACTATAGTCGAGATTATAGTATAGACCACAGTCTTGACTATAGAGCACATTCTTAACTATAGCCGAGACTATAGTATAGACCACAGTCTTGACTATAGTCGAGACTATAGTATAGACCACAGTCTTGACTATAGTCGAGACTATAGTATAGACCACAGACTTGACTATAGTCTCGACTATAGTATAGACCACAGTCTTGACTATAGACGAGACTATAGTATAGACCAAAGTCTTGACTATAGTCGAGACTATAGTATAGACCAAAGTCTTGACTATAGGCGAGACTATAGTATAGACCACAGTCTTGACTAAAGTCGAGACTATAGTATAGACCAAAGTCTTGACTATAGTATAGACCACAGTCGTGACTATAGTCGAAACTATAGTATAGACCACAGTCGTGACTATAGTCGAAACTATAGTATAGACCACAGTCTTGACTATAGTCTAGAATATAGTATAGACCACAGTCTTGTATCTAGTATCGACTATAGTATAGACCACAGTCTTGACTATAGTCTTGTCTGCATTATAGATCACAGTCTTGACTATAGTCTCGTCTATAGTATAGATTACAGGCCTGCCTATAGTCTCGACTATAGTATAGATCACAGTTTTGTCTATAGTACAGACCCCAGTCATGACTATAGTCTCGATTAAAGTCATAATTATCCACAGAAATGTTGTTTGTCTTTAAATCAAAATTAATCAACCACAACTTTTCAGTTCTCCTTTCTTATGGCCGAAGCTATAATGTGTCATTACAATCAAAATGTTTTGACGTTAAGCTTTCGTCGCAACACAAAAACCCTCATACATTGGGTGCTACAAGTTTTGGGTGGAGGAATTGGCATTGCTGGTGTTCTCATCCAATTAATACATGACAAATTTGATCTGTTCAATGCTCATGCAAAATTAGGCAAATTTCGTGATAAACTTCTTGAAATTTTAAATACATTTTAATTGATTTCTTAACACTTTCAGGTTTTGCCGCTTTTATCTTGTGTTTAATTAGTTTCGTTACGGGTTTATCGGCCTTATTCTCCACCACTTTGAAACGATTTTTAAGTCCCCTGCTAAATAAAACTTTTCATAATATTTTGGGTATGAGTACATTTGTTGTCGCTCTAGTTGCCCAATATTATGGTTACAATACTCGATTATTTACACGTAATGTACCCTCAAATGATTTTGTTATATTAATGAAATGTTTGACATTAATATCGGCTGTTCTGACGTGTTTGGGTCCTTTAAAGACCTTGATTTATAAATTAAAAGATGTTATTAGTCAGTATAGAGAAAATTATTGAACTTTATATTTTTATTATATTATAATATCATAACGGTTCAGATTTCACTATATATTATATAAAGTCTGATTTATTTTATATTCTATGTATATATTTTATGTTATTTCACTTGTATTTTAATAAAATTCTACTAAAATTTAAAAAAAATCTTGTAAACTTATTATTACCTGGTAAAAACATTGATTAGTCAAGACTATAGTCAAGAATGGTTTATGCTATAATTGAGACTTTAGCCAAGAGTGTGGTCTATACTATAGTTGGAATTATAGTCAAGACTGTGGCCTATACTATAGTCGAGACTTTAGTCAAGTCTGTGGTCTATACTATAGTCGATACTTTAGGCAAGACTGTGGTCTATAAAATAGTCGAGACTATAGTCAAGACTTTGGTCTATACTATAGTTGAGATTGTGGTCTCTGATTGAGTCGTGATCATATTCGTGATATACTACAGTCTAAACTGTAGGTAAGACAGTGGTCTATACTAATAAAATAATTTAGCAATATTTCCCACTGGGCAATTAACACTTTATTAATAGTTTATTTTAACAAAAACAAATATGCATTTGCGGAGTAAAGCATGCAAACCTGCTAGTACCGTTTTCAGAATAAACGAGTACAGAGAGATTTCCGTAGATCAACTGCAACGAAACTGATCTCAAAATTTAACAAGAATTAAAGGGTGTATTTGAGTTTCAATGAGTAAAACGAGAGTATCAAGCAAAACTTTCAATAAAATATAAAAAACTCACAATAATTTCAAAGATTTTCAAACATGATTAAGCGAAATAAAAATGACAATAAAAACACAATGTTATTTCCCTACTACAGTAAAACCTAAATAAAATAAACTGCTAAGGATCAGTAAATATAGAAATAAAAGAAAATCATCAAATAAAGAATTTGTTAGTCTTTTTGTTGGTAAAATCATATTAAACCAAAATTGCTTATATCGTGGTTTTACTGTATTTGAAATAGGAAGGAACCCCCCATGTCTTCAAATCTTTTATATTCTTAGGATATGAAATAATATTTTTATTTGATTAAGAAAATTTAATTGTTTCTCTTGAATAAAGTTTGTTTATATTAATTTTCTTTAAAACAACTCATTAAGAAAGTGTTATACTGTTATACAGTTTTATATAACAAACTGGTTTAAACTTAATTTCCGGACTTTAAAATATTGTTTACAAAATTTATGCATGATTTGTTTATGCTTTGATTTAATTGTTTTAAATTATTTATTGTCATTGATATATTTTGTTTAAAAATAACTGTTGTAACTGTATATACATAACAGTTTAATGAAATTGAAAGAGTTAATGAACATTTTAAACTGAGCGGACTAGGGTGAATGGACCTAGCTGTAGACCTCAGTCTTTACTAAAGTCTCGACTGTAAACACTAGAGACCACAGTTTCACTACAGTCTTGACTTTTCTCTAGATTATAGTATAGACCACAGTTTTGCCTATATTCTCAAATATGGTTCAGTTCTAGTCCAGTTCTAGTTAAGTTCTAGTTCAGTTCTAGTTCAGTTCTAGTTCAGTTCTAGTTAAGTTCTAGTTAAGTTCTAGTTCAGTTCTAGTTCAGTTCTAGTTCAGTTCTAGTTCATTTCTAGTTCATTTCTAGTTCATTTCTAGTTCAGTTGTAGTTCAGTTCAGTTTTCAGTTCAGTTCAGTTCTGGTTCAGTTCTAGTTCAGTGTTGTTCAGTTCAGTAGTTGTAGTTCAGTTCTAGTTCAGTTCTAGTTCAGTTGTAGTTCAGTTCTAGTTCAGTTCTAGTTTCAGTTAGTTAGTTCAGTTGTCTAGTTCAGTTCTAGTTCAGTTCTAGTTCAGTTCTAGTTCAGTTCTAGTTCAGGTTCTAGTTTCAGTTCTGTTCAGTTCAGTTCAGTTCTAGTTCAGTTCAGTTCAGTTTAGAGTCAGTTCTAGTTCAGATCTAGTTCAGTTCTAGTTCAGTTCTAGGTCAGTTCTAGGTCAGTTCTAGTTCAGTTCTAGTTCAGTTCTAGTTCAGTTCTAGTTCAGTTCTAGTTCAGTTCTAGTTCAGTTCTAGTTCAGTTCTAGTTCAGTTCTAGTCAGTTCTAGTTCAGTTCTAGTTCAGTTCTAGGTCAGTTCTAGGTCAGTTCTAGTTCAGTTCTAGTTCAGTTCTAGTTCAGTTCTAGTTCAGTTCTAGTTCAGTCTAGTTCAGTTCTGGTTCAGTTCTGGTTCAGTTCAGTTCAGTTCTAGTTCATTCTAGTTCAGTTCTAGTTCAGTTCTAGTTTCAGTTCTAGTTCAGTTCTAGTTCAGTTCTAGTTCAGTTCTAGTTCAGTTCTAGTTCAGTTCTAGTTCAGTTCTAGTTCAGTTCTAGTTCAGTTCTAGTTCAGTTCTAGTTCAGTTCTAGTTCAGTTCTAGTTCAGTTCTAGTTCGATCTAGTTTCAGTTCTAGTTCAGTTCTAGGTCAGTTCTAGGTCAGTTCTAGTTCAGTTCTAGTTCTAGTTCTAGTTCATTCTAGTTCAGTTCTAGTTCAGTTCTAGTTCAGTTCTAGTTCAGTTCTAGTTTAGTTCATAGTTCAGTTCTAGTTCAGTTCTAGTTCAGATCTAGTTCAGTTCTAGGTCAGTTCTAGGTCAGTTCTAGTTCAGTTCTAGTTCAGTTCTAGTTCAGTTCTAGTTCAGTTCTAGTTCAGTTCTAGTTCAGTTCTAGTTCAGTTCTAGTTCAGTTCTGGTTCAGTTCTGGTTCAGTTCTAGTTCAGTTCTAGTTCAGTTCTAGTTCAGTTCTAGTTCAGTTCTAGTTCAGTTCTAGTTCAGTTCTAGTTCAGTTCTAGTTCAGTTCTAGTTCAGTTCTAGTTCAGTTCTAGTTCAGTTCTAGTTCAGTTCTAGTTCAGTTCTAGTTCAGTTCTAGTTCAGTTCTAGTTCAGTTCTAGTTCAGTTCTAGTTCAGTTCTAGTTCAGTTCTAGTTCAGTTCTAGTTCAGTTCTAGTTCAGTTCTAGTTCAGTTCTAGTTCAGTTCTAGTTCAGTTCTAGTTCAGTTCTAGTTCAGTTCTAGTTCAGTTCTAGTTCAGTTCTAGTTCAGTTCTAGTTCAGTTCTAGTTCAGTTCTAGTTCAGTTCTAGTTCGGTTCTAGTTCAGTTCTAGTCAGTTCTAATTCAGTTCTAGTTCAGTTCTAGTTCAGTTCTAGTTCAGTTCTAGTTCAGTTCTAGTTCAGTTCTAGTTCAGTTCTAAGTTCAGTTCTAATTCAGTTCTAGTTCAGTTCTAGTTCAGTTTCTAGTTCAGTTCTAGTTCAGGTTCTAGTTCAAGTTCTAGTTCAGGTTCTACTTCAGTTCTAGTCAGTTCTAGTTCAGTTCTAGTTCAGTTCTAGTTCAGTTCTAGTTAGTTCTAGTTCAGTTCTAGTTCGTTCTAGTTCAGTTCTAGTTCAGTTCTAGTTCAGTTCTAGTTCAGTTCTAGTTCAGTTCTAGTTCAGTTCTAGTTCAGTTCTAGTTCCAGTTCTAGTTCGTAGTCAGTTCTAGTTCAGTTCTAGTTCAGTTCTAGTTCAGTTCTAGTTCAGTTCTAGTTCAGTTCTAGTTCAGTTCTAGTTCAGTTCTAGTTCAGTTCTAGTTCAGTTCTGTTCTAGTTCAGTTCTAGTTTCAGTTCTAGTTCAGTTCTAGTTCAGTTGTAGTTCAGTTCTAGTTCAGTTCTAGTTTAGTTCTAGTTCAGTTCTAGTTCAGTTCTAGTTCAGTTCTAGTTCAGTTCTAGTTCAGTTCTAGTTCGGTTCTAGTTCAATTCTAGTTCAGTTCTAGTTCAGTTCTAGTTCAGTTCTAGTTCAGTTCTAGTTCAGTTCTAGTTCAGTTCTAGTTCAGTTCTAGTTCAGTTCTAGTTCAGTTCTAGTTCAGTTCTAGTTCAGTTCTAGTTCAATTCTAGTTCAGTTCTAGTTCAGTTGTAGTTCAATTGTAGTTCAGCTCTAGTTCAGTTCTAGTTCTAGTTCAGTTCAGTTCTAGTTCAGTTCTAGTTCAGTTCTAGTTCAGTTCTAGTTCAGTTCTAGTTCAGTTCTAGTTCTAGTTCAGTTCCAGTTCAGTTCCAGTTCTGTTCTAGTTCAGTCCTAGTTCAATTCTAGTTCAGTTCTAGTACAGTTCTAGTTTTGTTTTAGTTCAGTTCTAGTTCTGATCTAGTTCTATTTTAGATCAATATTATTAAATTATTTACTGATCAATTTATATATCTTTCCATTATTAATAACTTTAGTCCCCGTTTCACTTCTCAATTATTAAAATCATTTAAATTTTAGACCTTATTAAATTTGTCTTAAAGATTAGCACCTATTCAGCATCTCAAATAATGTCTCGTCTAGTGGGACTTTTCGAACTTTCATATCAGATATTAATATGTTTTAGTAGTAGTTGAAATGGTTCATTTATTTTCAAAACTTTTGATAATAATAAACCCAAAAACAATTTCATATTGTCTGGTGTTAATAGGCCTAACTATAACTAGTAGTTGCTTAAGTTTTTCAAATAAATTTGTTATGTTTTGTAAATTAAATATTTAAATAATAAACAATTATACTCCGAAACATGCTTTTTTATTATCAAAGCATATTTTTCTGCTTTTCCCCCTGCGGGGTTTCATCCCTAGCTTAAAATAAAAAACCTTTAACGAAATTTATTTTAACAACAAAATAGACACATTGATAAGAGAACTTTTTGTGCAAACACAATTACGCCAAGAGACAAACAATAACAATTTTAAATATATACAATTAAATTAAAATAACAGCAAAGAAAAACTCTGTGTATTTTTTTTTTTTTTTCAAATTTAGCCTTAACATGGAATCATTGAATTCTACAACTTGCAGTACCATACGAACCGATTACGGCAGCACAACGTTAAAAATTTCAATTGGTAAAAATTCGGAGAACTCGGACAACGCTATAACTACCTCTACCACCTCTTACGCCATTGGATATCAGAGTTTACCTTATACATCGTCTACGAATTTATATGCCAAATCGCGTTTTTCCAAAATGTCTATGGATACGATGCCGAATAGTGAATCACGCCAAATAATGCAACGTTTGGAATATTTCCTAAATGTTTTGAATCAAATTTGCATTGGTTTTGTAACGATTTATATGAGTTGGTTGTGTTTGCGCACGGGATTAGCTGGCACGGGTTTGCATGCATGGCTGGTGACAATTGGAGTAAGTAATCGGGAAAAAAGGTTTAGTGAAAGATAATTGAAACCAATCATTAGTAGTTCTCCTCATCTAAATCAAAGACTTCTAGACCAGCTTTAGCTGTAAATATTGCTCAGTTCTAGTTCAGTTCTAGTTCAGTTCTAGTTCAGTTCTAGTTCAGTTCTAGTTCAGTTCTAGTTCAGTTCTAGTTCAGTTCTAGTTTAGTTCTAGTTCAGTTCTAGTTCAGTTCTAGTTCAGTTCTATTTCAGTTCTAGTTCAGCTCTAGTTCAGTTCTAGTTCAGTTCTAGTTCAGTTCTAGTTCAGTTCTAGTTCAGTTCTAGTTCAGTTCTAGTTCAGTTCTAGTTCAGTTCTAGTTCAGTTCTAGTTCAGTTCTAGTTCAGTTCTAGTTCAGTTCTAGTTCAGTTCTAGTTCTAGTTCAGTTCAGTTCTAGTTTAGTTCTAGTTCAATTCAAGCTCAGTTCTAGTTCAGTTCTAGTTCAGTTCTTGTTCAGTTCTAGTTCAGTTCTAGTTCAGTTCTAGTTCAGTTCTAGTTCAGTTCTAGTTCAGTTCTAGTTCAGTTCTAGTTCAGTTCTAGTTCAGTTCTAGTTTAGTTCTAGTTCAGTTCTAGTTCAGTTCTAGTTCAGTTCTAGTTCAGTTCTAGTTCAGTTCTAGTTCAGTTCTAGTTCAGTTCTAGTTCAGTTTTAGTTCAGTTCTAGTTCAGTTCTAGTTCAGTTCTAGTCCAGTTCTAGTCCAGTTCTAGTTCAGTTCTAGTTCAGTTCTAGTTCAGTTCTAGTTCAGTTCTAGTTCAGTTCTAGTTCAGTTCTAGTTCAGTTCTAGTTCAGTTCTAGTTCAGTTCTAGTTCAGTTCTAGATCAGTTCTAGATCAGTTCTAGTTCAGTTCTAGTTCAGTTCTAGTTCAGTTCTAGTTCAGTTCTAGTTCAGTTGTAGTTCAGTTCTATTTCAGTTCTAGTTCAGTTCTAGTTCAATTCAAGTTCAGTTCTAGTTCAGTTCTAGTTCAGTTCAAGTTCAGTTCTAGTTCAGTTCTAGTTCAATTCAAGTTCAGTTCTAGTTCAGTTCTAGTTCAGTTCTAGTTCAGTTCTAGTTCAGTTCTAGTTCAGTTCTAGTTCAGTTCTAGTTCAATTCTAGTTCAGTTCTAGTTCAGTTCTAGTTCAGTTCTAGTTCAGTTCTAGTTCCAGTTCAATTCTGATTAGAGAAAATGTGTATTAGGCTGTATGATAAATGCAAGTGTCAGACGTCTCTTGATGAATTATTCAAAGCTAACAATTGCTTTCAGGGGAAAGGAACTTTTGGGGAAACCCAAAGTTTTCACCTCTCTTATCAATTTCTTTATAAATAAAACCAATCCCAAATACAACTTATTGCAGTTCTCTTTCCTAATGGCTGAAGCTATAATGTGTCATTACAACCACAACGTTTTGACCTTTAACTATAGAAGAAGTACCAAAACTACTATTCACTGGGTGCTACAAGTATTGGGAGGTGGTTGTGGCATTGCTGGCGTTCTTATCAAATGTATACAGAAACATTTTTCTTTGCACTCAATACATGGGAAATTAGGTAAGGCATTATATGAGTTTTTCTAAAATAATAAATTATTTTACCAATTGCTTTATTTCTTTTTAGGTTTTGCCGCCTTTATTTTATGCTGCATTAGTTTTGCCTCCGGTTTGAGTGCATTATTTTCTACAAGATTTAAGAAACTTTTAAGTCCCTTACTAAATAAAACTTTTCATAACGTCTTGGGTATTGGTACCTTTGTGGTGGCTTTATCTGCTCAATATTATGGCTATGAAACCGGTTTCTTTTCTCGCAAAGCTCCTTCCGCTGATTTTATTATATTAATGAAATGTTTAACCTTAATATCATTGATATTATCCTGTATAGGTGCCTTAAAGGCCCTCTATCATAAATCAACGAATATTGTGAGACATTATAGTTAGAAGATCTTAATGTTATTTATAATTATGTATAAACATATTAGTTAATTTTTATATATTTATATATTTTGTTATATAGTTGTATATATCACCATTCAGATTTTAGTATATATTCCATAAAGTCTGATTTTTGCTGCATATTTAACCTAAAAATTCATTCGTAGAATTTTAAATGCATTCCAATATTGAATTTTAATCTATTATTTGTAAATAAACATATTTAAATAAAATATTTTATAAATTGCGAAATGTTTATAGATCAGAAATAGATCCACACAACTTGAACTAAACTAGAAATGAACTAGAACTGAACTTGAAGGGAAATAGAACTGAACTGAACTAGAACTGAACCTGAACTAGAACTGAACTAGAACTGAACTAGAACTGAACTAGAACTGAACTAGAACTGAACTAGAACTAAACTAGAACTGAACTAGAACTGAACTAGAACTGAAATACAACTGAACTAGAACTGAACTAGAAATGAACTAGAACTGAACTAGAACTAAACTAGAACTGAACTAGAACAGAACTAGAACTGAACTAGAAATGAACTAGAACTGAACTAGAACTGAACTAGAACTGAACTAGAACTGAACTAGAACTGAACTAGAACTGAACTAGAACTGAACTAGAACTGAACTAGAACTGAACTAGAACTGAACTAGAACTGAACTAGAACTGAACTAGAACTGAACTAGAACTGAACTAGAACTGAACTAGAACTGAACTAGAACTGAACTAGAACTGAACTAGAACTGAACTAGAACTAAACTAGAACTGAACTAAAACTGAACTAGAACTGAACTAGAACTGAACTAGAACTGAACTAGAACAGAACTAGAACTGAACTAGAAATGAACTAGAACTGAACTAGAAATGAACTAGAATTGAACTAGAACTGAACTAGAACTGAACTAGAACTAAACTAGAACAGAACTACATAGAACTGAACTAGAAATGAACTAGAACTGAACTAGAACTGAACTAGAACTGAACTAGAACTGAACTAGAACTGAACTAGATCTGAACTAGAACTGAACTAGAACTGAACTAGAACAGAACTAGAAACTGAACTAGAACTGAACTAGAACTGAACTAAAGCTGAACTAGAACTGAACTAGAACTGAACTAGAATGAACTAGAACTGAACTAGAACTGAACTAGAACTGAACTAGAACTGACTAGAACTGAACTAGAACTGAACTAAAACTGAACTAGAACTGAACTAGAACTGAACTAGATCTGAACTAGAACTGAACTAGAACTGAACTAGAACTGAACTAGAACTGAACTAGAACTGAACTAGAACTGAACTAGAACTGAACTAGAACTGAACTAGAACTGAACTAGAACTGAACTAGATCTGAACTAGAACTGAACTAGAACTGAACTAGAACTGAACTAGAACTGAACTAGAACTGAACTAGAACTGAACTAAAACTGAACTAGAACTGAACTAGAACTGAACTAGACTGAACTAGAACTGAACTAGAACTAGAACTGAACTAGAACTGAACTAGAACTGAACTAGAACTGACTAGAACTGAACTAGAACTGAAGTAGAACTGAACTAAAACTGAATTAGAACTGAACTATAACTAGAACTGAACTAGAACTGAACTACAACTGAACTGGAACTGAACTGGAACTGAACTAGAACTGAACTGGAACTGAACTAGAACTGAACTAGAACTGAACTAGAACTGAACTAGAACTGAACTAGAACTGAACTAGAACTGAAATAGAACTGAACTAGAACTGAACTAGAACTCAACTAGAACTGAACTAGAACTGAACTAGAACTGACCTAGAACTGAACTAGAACTGAACTAGAACTGAACTAGAACTGAATTAGAACTGAACTGGAACTGAACTGGAACTGAACTAGAACTGAACCAAAACTGAACTAGAACTGAACATCTATGAAAGGCCTTTAAAGTCTAAACTATATATTTATCAATTCTTTTATACTCTCTGAATATTTTTGATTACATTGTATGTATAATTTAAATTTCATATGACTCCAACTTCATTATTAAGTTCGATAATATGCATGTCTCAAAATACGAAACGATAGATAAAAATTTAATCAAAGACAGCATGAGTGAGATGAGTCCCCCAATAAAAACAGATATTTTAAAGAATTGATTCAATTAAGAAAATATACACTTGTTGACTACAATTCGGAAAACAATTTTAAAACAATCTAGTAACAAATTTCAGTTGATCATCACCATCAAATCGACATGAAGCAAAATACAGACTTTATAGGGTCTTAATTTGGACAATTCATGATATGGATTGGATAAATTATTTTATAAATTCATCACTTATTAAATTATTTCCACCTTCAAACAATCCATTCCTTTAAATCTCTGCCCACCTAGTGGGTGTATATATATTTACTCCAGTAACTTAGTTAAAACATCTTAAAAAAAATTCTAATAACTGATCGATAAGAAGCAAAAAAAAAAGAAATACAATATCTAAGTACTCATCATCATATACGAAGAAATCAATGTCGTAAGCATACGAATTAGTTCAAAAACAATTTCGAAAGTGTAATGTACTAAAAATTTCCAATATTCCAAAACCCGGAAACGAAAATGCGACAAACTGGTAAAATTATCATAAATAAAGTGGAAAAACCGAAAACAAAAGTGAAAAATGTCAAAACGAATTTAGTTAATTCTAAAAGTCCCTCATACTGTCAAATATTCGAGTTTATATTGGTCTCTATAAATCGTCTATTAATCGGTTTTGTTACGATTTATATGGGTTGGATGTGTTTGCGTTTGAAATACGAAGATATACCTTTTCATGCTGTTTTGTGTACTTTAGGGGTAGGTAAAGAAGATCGGGGAAGATATTTAACTTATTAATTACTATATCTATTTGTCTTATATACATATGTCTAGTTTGTTTGCTTGATGTCTGAGGGTTTATTGTCACATTATCGCGGTAATGCTTGGACTTTATTATGTTTTCGCACCGAAAAATCGCGTACTCATTGGATTTTACAATTGACTGGTTCGATAATTGGTTTGGTTGGAATTGGTATTAAGTGCTATATAGAGGAAGTACATTTTCATACGGTGCATGGTTTAGTGGGTAAGTAGATGTAACTGAACTACACCTGAACTGAACTGGAAATGAACTATAAATGAACTAGAACTGAAGTAGAACTGAAATAGAACTGAACTAGAACTGAATTAGAACTGAATTGGTACTGAAGTAGAACTGAACTAGAATTGAACTAAACCAGAACTGAACTAGAACTTCAGTAGAACTGAACAAAAACTGAACTAGAACTGAACTGGAACTAGAACTGAAATGAATTGATACTGAACTAGAAATTTAATGGAACCGAATCAAAACAAAACCAAAACTGAACTATAGATGACTGGAACTGAACTAAAACTAAACTAGAACTAAAACTAGAAATGGACTGGAACTGTACTACAACTGAACTAGAACCAAAACTAAAAATGATCTGGAACTGTACTACAACTGAACTAGAACTAAACTAGAACTGAACTAGAACATTACTTGAACTGAACTAGAACTGTACTACAACTGAAATAGAACTAAACTAAAACTGAACTAGAATTGAACTAGAACTGAATTAGAACTGAACGAGAACTGAACTAGAAGTGAACAAGAACTGAACTAGATCTGAACTAGAACTGAACTAGAACTAAACTGAACTAGAACTGAAGTCAATTGATACTGAACTAGAAATTAAATGGAACCGAACTAAAACTAAACTAGAACTGAACTAGAAATGACTGGAACTGAACTAAAACTAAACTAGAACTGAACTAAAACTGAACTAGAACTGAAGTAGAACTGAACTAGCACTGAACTAGAACTGAACTAGAACTGAACTAGAACTGAACTAGAACTGAACTAGAACTGAACTAGAACTGAACTAGAACTGAACTAGAACTGAACTAGAACTTACCTAGAACTGAACTAGCACTGAACTAGAACTTACCTAGAACTGAACTAGAATTGAACTAGCACTGAACTATAACTGAACTAGATCTGAAGTAGAACTGAACTGGAACTGAATTTGAACTGAACTAGAAATCAACTAGGACTGTACTACAACTGAACTAGAACTAAACTAGAACTGAACTAGAACTGAACTAGAACTGAACTAGAACTGAACTAGAACTGAACTAGAACTGAACTAGAACTAGAACTGAACTAGAACTGAACTAGAACTGAATTAGAACTGAACTAGAACTGAACTAGAACTGAACCAGAACTGAACTAGAACTAGAACTGAACTTAACTGTACTACAACTGAACTAGAACTGTACTACAATTGAAATAGAACTGAACTAGAATTGAACTAGAACTGAACTAGAACTAAACTAGAACTGAAATAGATCTGAACTAGAACTTAACTAGACCTGAACTGATCTAGAAATGAACTAGACCTAAACTAGAACTGAGCTAGACCTGAACAAAACTAGGACTAGACTAGAACTGACTAAGAACTGTACTAGAACTGAATCAGAACTAAATTAGAACTGAACTGGAAGTGAACTACAACTGATCTAGAAACGCACTAGAACTGTACTACAACTGAACTATAAACTGAGCTAGAACTGAACTAAAACAGAACTAGAACTGAACTAAAACAGAACTAGAGCAGAACTAGAACTGAACTAAAACAGAACTGGAACTGAACTAGAACTGTACAGGAACTAGGGTGATCGACTCGATTTTTCAACCGGTTTTAAAACCGGTTTTTTCTGCTTTACCAGTGTCGGTTTTTTCTTAATGTTGATTTTTCGAATATCGAATAACCCGTTTTTTTCACTTTTTAAAACCCGGTTTCGAATACTTTTATTTGCTTTGTATTCAAAGATTATTTAAATGAAATTTTTAAGTAAATAATAATACAGCCCGTCTAAATTTTAAAAATATTCGAGTCGAGGAACTAGAGTACATTTTCTACAGCTCTTTTGGTTAAACTTTTTTGATTTTCCTAATTAATTAAAAAAATTTATTTGTAAAATTGATAACTGATAAAATTTAGCAATCTTAAGATTATATTCCAATTACAATAATTAATTTACGGCTGAAATTTTATGGAAGAGTTGGAATGCCTATGCAAATTTCCTTAAACAGGGCTTTTAAAATAAGCTAGGATTACATAGTACCTTATGTTTAACAGAAGTGTCCCACTTTTTTCCTATTTTTTTTATATTAAAGAAATAATGTAAATCAGACGACTAGATCTAAAGTTATAATCTTTTAAACTGTTAAAAATCATTTCGGGCCATGTTTTATTAATCAAATTTAAACATAGACATTAAGTTTTTCAAACTAAAATATATTTTTTTTAATTATAATGAAAAACCGGTTAACCGGTTTTTTCTGAATTTGAAAAATATCAACCGGTTTTTTTTAAATGTCAACTATTCGAAAACCGGTTTTTGGAAAATGTCGAATAATCGATCACCCTAACAGGAACTAAATTATTACTGAAAATATAACTAGGAACCATATTTCGATCACTGAAACAGTGAAAACATTTTCTTGAAATCCATTTGCTTATGGAATCGCCCATATTATATTAGCACACTAAAGTATGCTATACTATGTTTTATTTATGACAAACCGGTAAAATAAGAATGCAAATACAGTGGGCAAGATTAGGAAAACAAGACTTTTGTAGGGTACGCAGCCGGCTACAGAAGTGGGCGTGGCACTAAGTAAACACTAAAATTCGTATATTGGCAAAACTAGTTAGAGTCCTCAAATCTTGTAAGACCATATTTAGAATCAATATTAATATTTAGCACAAAAATTGGTGGACTAACAAGAAAGGGTGAGGGAGGCACCTTCGATATAAGAGTAAAAACTAAAATTTGTGTATCTGGTAAGACATAACAGCTAGATTCCTCAAATTTGACATTCTTATAAACATTTCCTAATTTCATATTACTATTTTTTAAAACTATAAAAAATACACATTTTAATAAAAAATTTTAACATTTACAGGTTTAGCCACAGCTGTTCTTCTTATACTAAGCCTTCTAACAGGCTTAAGTGCCCTGTATGCCACAGAAATGAAACATTATATGCAACCTTTATGCAATAAAGCTTTTCACAATATCTGGGGTTTATTAACCTTCACTCTGGCCATGATCAGCATGTATACCGCTTATGAAACGGAAATATTTTTTCAACATTCTTTAGATGCTGCCAATTACCAGGATTTCAAATGGTTAATACAATCGTGTATAGTTATTATATGGTTATTAACCTGTTATGGTCCCTTATGGTGTTTAATTTATTCAAAATTATGTAGAACTTGTTAAAGGAAATAAAACTAATAAATTATAGATGTTTTTTTTTTAGTTTTAGTGTTAACATAATAATTTTTATTAGAAAACATTTAAAAGTTTGTTTTAATTTTGTAGCAAAGTGCATTTTTAAATAATAATTTATAAATAATACTTTTGTGTAGAGTGTGTAGTTTTAAATTTATAAAAAAATGTGTAAAATTTAAAAGAAATTTTTTTTGAATAAAACTTACAAACTAAAACAAAACAATGAGAACATTTACACTTAATGTAGAGGTTTTTTTTTATTCGAGTTTGAGATGAAAAGGGATTTCTTTTAAAAAATATATTTTTTGTTTGAGTTTTTGCTTAAGTTTAGCTTTTATTTAAAGGGAGCTGTTAATTTAAGTTTAAAGCACTTTAAAGGCAATATTTTTGTTAATACTTTTTTTTTAGCAAGTTTTAAGTAGTTTTTAATTTAATTTTATTTTTCTGGAATATTTATCAATTGTTTGGTTATATCTATAATAAACATATCACTTTGTGTTATAAATAAGTCGGCAAATTATTGGGAGGAGTTTTTTCCTTTTTGGTATTTGCTTTTTGTTTAATTTATCCTAATGAAATTTTAGAGAATCATCTTAATACTTTCAAAACTATTATTTAAATTTTAACTAAGAATTAGCTAATTGATATTGAAAATACTTTTATTTGACTATAAAAGTATTAAAAAATTTTCATACAAAATAATACTCTAAAACAATTCGAAATGTATTCTAAGTTAAAGAAAGACTTCTTTTCTATTCGAGTGCTCAAGAAATTAAAAAAAAAAGTGAAAATCAATTCCCGTCTAAAAAACTTCTTTGAAATTTTCAGTTTGCAGTTTTTTTTTCAGCATGACTTTTAAAATTTATTTAAACCTTTATTAACAATAGCGGAATTTGAAGAAGAACTTCAAAAAGGCAAGAATTTGCATTTAACGAAAAGATTTAATTTCCTGTGAAATGAACTGAAACTGATCTAGAAATGAACTAGAACTAATCTAGCACTGATCTGATCTAAAACTTCACAAAAACTGATCTAGAAGTAATTAAGGACTGAACTAGAAGAGAACAGAAAGAACACAACTAGAACAGAACTAGAACAGAACCAGAATAGAATGGAACTAGAACAGAACTAGAACATAACTAGAACGGAACTAAAACAGAACTAAAACAGAACTAGGACAGAACTGGAACAGAACTAGAACAGAACTAAAACAGAACTAGAACAGAACTAGAACATAACTAGAATAGAACTAGAACAGAACTAGAACAGAACTAGAACTAGAACAGAACTAGAACAGAACTAGAACAGAACTAGAACAGAACTAGCACAGAACTAGAACAGAACTAGAACAGAACTAGAACAGAACTAGAACAGAACTAGAACAGAACTAGAACAGAACTAGAACAGAACTAGAACAGAACTAGAACAGAACTAGAACAGAACTAGAACAGAACTAGAACAGAACTAGAACAGAACTAGAACAGAACTAGAACAGAACTAGAACAGAACTAGAACAGAACTAGAACAGAACTAGAACAGAACTAGGACAGAACTGGAACAGAACTAGAACAGAACTAAAACTGAACTAGAACAGAACTAGAACTGAACTAGAACTGAACTAGAACTGAACGAGAACAGAACTAGAACAGAACTAGAACAGAACTAGAACAGAACTAGAACAGAACTAGGACAGAACTAGAACAGAACTAGAACATAACTAGAACAGAACTAAAACTGAACTAGAACTGAACTAGAACTGAACTAGAACTGAACTAAAACTGAACTAAAACTGAACTAGAACTGAACTAAAACTGAACTAAAACTGAACTAGAACTGAACTAGAACTGAACTAGAACTGAACTAAAACTGAACTAAAACTGAACTAGAACTGAACTAAAACTGAACTAAAACTGAACTAGAACTGAACTAGAACTGAACTAGAACTGAACTAGAACTGAACTAAAACTGAACTAGAACTAGAACTGAACTAGAATTGAACTAGAACTGAACTAGAACTCAACTAGAACTGAACCAGTACTGAACTCTAGAACTGAACTAAAACTGAACTGGAACTGAACTAGAATTGATCTAAAACTGAACTAGAATTAATCTAGACCTGATCTAGAACCAAACTAGGATTGATCTATAGTTTAACTAGAACTGATCTAGAAATTAACTAAAACTGAATTAGACCTAAACTAGATCTAAACTAGAATTAATCTAGAACTGATCTAGAACCATTAAAAGAACCGATCTAGAACCATTAAAAGAACCGATCTAGAACCATTAAAGAATTAAACTAGAACTAAACTGTAACTGAAGTAGAATTAATCTGGAACTGATCGTGAAATGAGCTAGAACAAGAGCTGAACAAGAACTGAACTTATAATCATGATATAAAAATAAAACTGATTTACAACTGAACTCGAAACCGATTTAAAACTGATCTATAATTAATCTAGAATTGATCTTGAACTCAATTAGAAATGATCTAGAACTGATCTATAGTTGGTTTAAATTTTTCACGAAAAATCAAAAATTTTACATAAAATTCGAAATTTCACTAAAAATTCTAAATTTTATTAAAATTTTAAATTTTCTTAGAAAATCCAAATTTTCACTAAAATTTCAAAATTTTCTTAGAAAATCCAAATTTTTACTTAAATTTTAAAATTTCAAAATTTAACTAAAATTTCAAAATATAACAAAAATTTCAAAATTTAACTAAAATTTCAAATTTTCACTAAAAATCTGTATTTTTAAATCCATGATTAAAAATCCCAAAATTTAAAGAAAAATTCTAAATAATTTCTTTAAAAATAAAAAAAACTAGCAAATACTGCATAAAAGGTAATGCTCCACACAAATCTTAATACTAATCTATAAACTGCCCTTTATTTAAGAAAATTTTCTTCCTCCTTACTTCCTCTCCAGCACTTTACAATTTATTAAAACGTTTGCTAGAAAAGCCCATGGGAAATGCCTCAATGTGATGCCTTAACCAAGAAACTTTACCATCCTTATTCAATAAAAATCGCATATCATTATTAGAATCATCGGCCGAACAGCAATGTTTATCCGTACAAAAGCGACAATTGTTGTAGGCCAAAGTTGAAGTATAATCATATTCTTCATACATAATCTTGGCGGATTTTTGATCATAACGTAGATATAGCGTCAAGCAGACGAATAACAAGAATAGTAAAATGCAAGTAGCACCACTGGCAATGCTGGCCTTTTCCAATATGGGACGAGGACGTTTGGGTTCATAGGAACCATCAAGTTCTTTGTATTCACAACGTGGACCCATAAAACCAATGGCGCACTCACAATTATACATAATGGAATCACCTATCTTGACCGTAAAACAAGTGGCCTCATTGAGACAATACCAGGCATCATAATTGGCCGGACACTTGAAAGTGGGGAAGGTTATATTGGGCCTAGGAGTGGTAGTAGTAGTGGTGGTAGTGCTGGTGGTGGTAGTACGTGCCGTAGTAGTTGTTGGAGCCTTGGTGGTAATGGGCGCATTAATTGGCCTAGGTTTGGGTAAAGAACGACTAGAACAGGCCCATGTGGAGGGTGTTAGATGGAGTAACAATAAAAGGCAGCTTATAAACAAAAAATGGAATTTTGGTTTTAAATACCACAATAAGTTTGTTGTTAAGTTCAACATGTTGTTGTTAATTTTTTTAAATTAGTTGTTACAAAAATTACCCAAAATGGAATGAATTTAATTAAATATAAAATAAATTAGTTTCACTTGGTTTTTTTCGAGGTTATAATGTGCAATTCTTTAAGTTAACTTTAAGAATTTAAACAATATTTGGTTTATTTCTTTTCACAAAATAGTTTAGTTTTTTTTTTTTTTAATTAAAAAATTTTTTGGTATATTTACTTGAGTGTTGACAAATAATTGGAATTATGTTAAATTATAACATTAAACTTTATAAAAAAGTTAAAAGTATCACAATGAAATTAAAAAAAAAAATTCTAAAAATTAAAACTTATAAAAATAAACTCTTTTAATTGTTATTAATAATAAAATTTCTTGGTCTAATGTTTAAAAAAAATTGTATCACTTTTCTTTTTAAAACTTAAATTAATATTTTTGCTCTTCACCGTCTGTGCTTGGCTTGTCTGTAGTTAATCAAGTCCTTGTTATCCTTTTGCTAATCCTTAGCTAAACAGCTGGCTGGGGGGAGTAAACAAAAAGAAAGAAAATAAAACAAAAAATTAATTCTTATTGTCATAAATCCCCCGTGTTTTGTTTTTTTCTGTGATGATTTACTGAAAAATTTTAATGAAAAATGATTAATATTAATATTAATTGCAATTGGTTTTAAAATAAATAAATATTATACGAAATTTTTCAATTAAAATCAATTAAACATTTGTTTACTATGGCAACTTTAACAACTCTACACCTGCACCTACTAGAATATAGAGAAACAACGCATATTTTGTTATCAGTACTTCGAAAAATTTTAGGGTTATAAGGTCATTGATGCATTTTTTCTAAATTTGAAAAAAATAAACACAAAAAAGTAACAACGCAATTTGTTTAAAAATTTCGGTAAGAAACAGAACTTAATTAGAACAGAACTAATACAGAACTAGAACAGAACTAGAAGAAAGTTAGAACAAAGCTAGGACAAAACTAGAACTGAACCAGAACGGAACTAGAACTGAACCAGAACGGAGCTAGAACAGAACAGAACTAAAACAGAACTAGAGCAAAACTAGAACAGAACTAGAACAGAACTAGAATACAACTAGAATAGAACTAGAACAGAACTAGAACTAGAACTAAAACAGAACTAGAACAGAACTAGAACAGAACTAGAACAAAACTAGAACAGAATTAGAACAGAACTAGAACAGAACTAGAACAGAACTAGAACAGAACTAGAACAGAACTAGAACAGAACTAGAACAGAACTAGAACAGAACTAGAACAGAACTAGAACAGAACTAGAACAGAACTAGAACAGAACTAGAACAGAACTAGAACAGAACTAGAACAGAACTAGAACAGAACTTGAAGAGAACTAGAACAGAACTAGAACAGAACTAGAATAGAACTAGAACAGAACTAGAACAGAACTAGAACAGAACTAGAACAGAACTAGAACAGAACTAGAACAGAACTAGAACAGAACTAGAACAGAACTAGAACAGAACTAGAACAGAACTAGAACGAACTAGAAACTAGAACAGACTAACAGAACTAGAACAGAACTAGAACAGAAACTGGAACAGAACCAGAACAGAACTAGGACATAACTAGAATAGAACTAGAACATAACTAGAATAGAACTAGAACATAACTAGAATAGAACTAGAACTAGAATAGAACTAGAACAGAACTAAAACAGAACTAGAACAGAACAAGAACAGAACAAGAACAGAACTAGAGCAGAACTAGAACAGAACTAGAACAGAACTAGAATAGAACTAGAACAGAACTAGAACAGAACTAGCACAGAACTAGAACAGAACTAGAATTGAACTAGAATAGAACTAAAACAGAACTAGAATAGAACTAGACAGAATACAGAACTAGAACAGAACTAGAACAGAACTAGAACAGAACTAGAACAGAACTAGAACAGAACTAGAACAGAACTAGAACAGAACTAGAACAGAACTAGAACAGAACTAGACAACTAGAACAGAACTAGAACAGAACTAGAACAGAACTAGAACAGAACTAGAACAGAACAGAACTAGAACAGAACTAGAACAGAACTAGAACAGAACTAGAACAGAACAGAACTAGAACAGAACTAGAACAGAACTAGAACAGAACTAGAACTAGAACAGAACTAGAACAGAACTAGAACAGAACTAGAACAGAACTAGAACAGAACTAGAACAGAACTAGAAAACTAGAACAGAACTAGAACAGAACTAGAACAGAACTAGAACAGAACTAGAACAGAACTAGAACAGAACTAGAACAGAACTAGAACAGAACTAGAACAAAACTAGAACAGAACTAGAACAGAACTAGAACAGAACTAGAACAGAACTAGAACAGAACTAGAACAGAACTAGAACTAGAACAGAACTAGAACAGAACTAGAACAGAACTAGAACAGAACTAGAACAGAACTAGAACAGAACTAGAACAGAACTAGAACAGAACAGAACAAACTAGAACAGAACTAGAACTAGAACAGAACTAGAACAGAACTAGAACAGAACTAGAACAGAACTAGAACAGAACTAGAACAGAACTAGAACAGAACTAGAATTGAACTAGAACAGAACTAGAACAGAACAGAACAAACTAGAACAGAACTAGAACTAGAACAGAACTAGAACTAGAACAGAACTAGAACAGAACTAGAACAGAACTAGAACAGACTAGAACAGAACTACAACAACTAGAACAGAACTAGAACAGAACTAGAACAGAACTAGAACAGAACTAGAACAGAACTAGAACAGAACTAGAACAGAACTAGAACAGAACTAGAACAAAACTAGAACAGAACTAGAACAGAACTAGAACAGAACAGAACAGAACAGAACTAGAACAGAACTAGAACAGAACTAGAACAGAACTAGAACAGAACTAGAACTAGAACAGAACTAGAACAGAACTAGAACAGAACTAGAACAGAACTAGAACAGAACTAGAACAGAAATAGAAGAACAGAACTAGAACATAACAAGAACAGAACTAGAACATAACAAGAACAGAACTAAAACAGAACTAGAACTGAAGTAGTACAGAACTAAACAAGAACTGAACTATATCTGATCTAAAATTGTTGTGGAATTGAACTAGAACCGCACTTAAAATTAAGCAGAATACATTGGATATCTCTCCATTGAAAAAAATATTCCCACTAGTTTAGTTAGCACTTTCAAACCACACGCACAATTATATACGTTTACTGAACAATAACAACAACGTGTTCACTTCACAAAACAACAATTTATTATTAAACACTTCAGACAGGTTTTCTTCACATTCACTATTTATGAGTAACAATTAATAATATTTCTTTTTTATAACTTTGATATTTATTTTTTTTATCCAACACTTTATACACATTAACACACTTTATATTTATGTCCTTCCTTCCTTCCTGTCTGTCTGGGTCGTCGTCGGTCGGGTCTTCTCCACAAACACTCAGTCAGTAGTAGTACACTTAGTAGTCGGAGCCATAAAGATCAAAGTGAAATAAGAACAAACAACCACTTTACGAGAGTAGAATGGAAATCTTTTTACAAACTTTGAATTTGTTCTAAAGAACAATACATTAGTATTTTACGTTTTCTTTGATTTAGTTTTAGAAATATTTATTATTTTGTTTATAAAATGTTGTATTCCGTTGATTATCCTAGCTCATCAAAGCTGGCTGTGATATGCGTTGATAATCCATATCACAACCACTTGATGAGGCTTAGATAAGCAACATTTTCATAAATAAATGAAAATAGTTAGCTTTAATATGAATTTCATTATTTTAAGAGTTTAACACTTTTCCGCTGGTTACTGGGACAACAAATCTAAGCTCATCAAAGCTGGCTGTGATATGCAATTTTTTAAAGTTTTAAAAGAACTATAAAAAGTTAATTTAAGCATTTCACAACCACTTTGTGAGGCTAAGACAAGTGTATTTGTTTATTTTTTGTATATTAAACTTTTATTATTTTATTGTATTTGATTTGTTTTTCTGTTTTTCGTTTATATATTTTTTATTTGTAAGAAGAAAAAAATTTATTTTAATTAATTATAAGAAATGTGACGCTCCTCAAAGCTGGCTGTGATATGAATATTAAAATTAAATTTAAAAGAGAAAACATTTCGCAGCCACTTTGAAGAATGACACAATTCTTTTGAGGAGCCACCAATAGAATATTTTTTGTTTTTTTTTTTTATTCTCAAAAACACTCAAACATAGACAAAAAGTTATTTTTCAATTTCTCTACTCTGCATATTATCACATAGAACAGCAACAAGAACAACAAACACAGTTGGTTGGTTGGTCATCAAAAAATTGCACAAATACTCACAAACAGGAATGTTTAAATAAATAAAATTTGGAAAAAATATTTAAAAAATCGAACAGAATAATAAAAAATTGGTATAAACATCATTAAACTTCAGTTGTTTAGACTGTAGAACTGAACTAATACTAAACTAGAACAGAACAGAACTAGAACAGAACTAGAACAGAACTAGAACAGAACTAGAACAACTAGAACAGAACTAGAATAGAACTAGAACAGAACTAGAACAGAACTAGAACAGAACTAGAACAGAACTAGAACAGAACTAGAACAGAACTAGAACAGAACTAGAACAGAACTAGAACAGAACTAGAACAGAACTAGAACAACTAGAACAGAACTAGAACAGAACTAGAACTAGAACAGAACTAGAACAGAACTAGAACAGAACTAGAACAGAACAGACTAGAACAGAACTAGAACAGAACTAGAACAGAACTAGAACAGAACTAGAACTAGAACTAGAACAGAACTAGAACTAGAACGGAACTAGAACAGAACTAGAACAGAACTAGAACAGAACTAGAACAGAACTAGAACAGAACTAGAACAGAACTAGAACAGAACTAGAACAGAACTAGAACAGAACTAGAACAGAACTAGAACAGAACTAGAACAGAACTAGAACAGAACTAGAACAGAACTAGAACAGAACTAGAACAGAACTAGAACAGAAACTAGAACAGAAACTAGAACAGAACTAGAACAGAACTAAGAACAGAACTAGAACAGAACTAGAACAGAACTAGGAACAGAACTAGAACAGACCTAGAACAGAACTAGAACAGAACTAGAACAGAACTAGAACAGAACTAGGAACAGAACTAGGACAGAACTAGAACAGAACTAGAACAGAACTAGAACAGAACTAGAACAGAACTAGAACAGAACTAGAAACTAGAACAGAACTAGAACAGAACTAGAACAGAACTAGAACAGAACTAGAACAGAACTAGAACAGAACTAGAACAAACTAGAAACAGAACTAGAACAGAACTAGAACAACTAGAACAGAACTAGAACAGAACTAGAACAGAACTAGAAACAGAACTAGAACAGAACTAGAACAGAACTAGAACAGAACTAGAACAGAACTAGAACAGAACTAGAACAGAACTAGAACAGAACTAGAACAGAACTAGAACAGAACTAGAACAGAACTAGAACAGAACTGAACAGAACTAGAACAGAACTAGAACAGAACTAGAACAGAACTAGAACAGAACTAGAACAGAACTAGAACAGAACTAGAACAGAACTAGAAACAGAACTAGAACAGAACTAGAACAGAACTAGAACAGAACTAGAACAGAACTAGAACAGAACTAGAACAGAACTAGAACAGAACTAGAACAGAACTAGAACAGAACTGGAACAAACTAGAACAGAACTAGAACAGAACTAGAACAGAACTAGAACAGAACTAGAACAGAACTGGAACAGAACTAGAACAGAACTAGAACAGAACTAGAACAGAACTAGAACAGAACTAGAACAGAACTAGAACAGAACTAGAACAGAACTAGAACAGAACTAGAACAGAACTAGAACAGAACTAGAACAGAACTAGAACAGAACTAGAACAGAACTAGAACAGAACTAGAACAGAACTAGAACAGAACTAGAACAGAACTAGAACAGAACTGGAACAAAACAAAAACAGAACTAAAACAGAACTAAAACAGAACTAAAACAGAACTAGAACAGAACTAGAACAGAACTAGAACAGAACTAGAACAGAACTAGAACAGAACTAGAACAGAACTAGAACAGAACTAGAACAGAACTAGAACAGAACTAGAACAGAACTAGAACAGAACTAGAACAGAACTAGAACAGAACTAGAACAGAACTAGAACTGCAAAAGAAAAAGCAAAAACGACTAGAATAGAACTAATTCTAAAATTAAACTTAAAATCGCCATAACATCGCAAATCTGCTGAAATATTGTTTATTGTTAATTTTTTGCCAAGATAAGAGCAACAACAAAAATTTTGTTTATAATACAGTAAATAAATGCAACAACTATACACATCTTTAATGAATGAAGAAATTTTATGTTGTACAACAAAAATTGTATGGACAAAAAGAGCATTGATCTATAATTTTGATTAAGTAAAATGCAGGCGGCAATAAAACAGAAACAAAAAAACGGTCAATGTATTGAGCACAATAGGATGATGACATTTTTCAAAGAAATTAAATAAAAAAAGCAAAACAATTTACTAAACAACACAAATGTAGAAAAAAGAAAATAATTTAAAACAAAAACAGGGATTTACAAAAAAAAAATAATCTTCAACAAAGTATAAAATTGCCTAAAGTCTAGACATTAATAAAAACTAGAGAATGAAATTAGAGAGACTAGATTTAAAAACTTAATTAAGCTAAATGTTTCCGATTTAAATGGAAACAGTGTAGTTAACGTTTTAGACAAGGAAGTTCTGATTTAACACGTTTTAGTTTGTGTTGCAATTCATTTGCAAAACATTTATTTATGAATGAAACTATACACACAAAACTAAAGCAATTGTTTTCCTCTAAAAAAAAAGCACGTGCTTTTAGCTTAAATCCACAAAATCTTAAATAAAAACCATAATCAAAAATTGAAACAGTTAAAAATTTATAATATGAACATGGGGAAGGCGCCACAAAACTCTCAAAATGATAATAATTTCCCAAGTAAATCATTTTTATATAACACACACAAAAGAAAACCAAAATCATCATGTTGGGTTCTTAAATGTACATGAAAAGTAAAAAGAAGCTGTCGCCAAAAAACAAATTAAAATCAATAATAAATATTATTTAAGCGCCACCTCAAGAAAATATTAAGAAAAAAGCAACTGTTATTAAACAAATATCAATTTTTTTGAACAAAATATACAGCAAAACAAAAAAAAAAACGGCGTCTTTGATAATAAAACTGAAAAACACGTCTTGAAGAATTTTTACAAAAAGAGCATAATTTCTTTAACTTCGCAAATCAAGAGCAGCTACAAAATATTAAAGAAATCAAATAAAGCAAAGTTCATACAAAATGCCACCAATTCTTTAAATTTAATATTGCAGAGCATTAGCTGAAGATAGGAATATTTTCAAGTTGAATAACCAAATAATTAAAACAAAAAGTAAATAATGAAGATTATCATTCAAAATATACAAAAAAATGATTAGCAGAAATTTTGTGAATGTATTTAATGCTAAATACAACTGTGTGAATAAAAATGCAACACTGTTGACAATATGGATTTTATTTGAAAAGTTAACGGTCAAAACAAATTATATTTGAAAACTGACAAAGTACTAAAATATACCAAAACTGAATTCTAGAAATGAAAGAGAACAGAAAAGAATTAGAATAGAACTAGAGAATAGAACTGGAACAGAACTAGAACAGAACTAGAACAGAACCGGAACAGAACTAGAAATGAACTAGAACTGAACGACAACTGAACTAGAACAGAACTAGAACCGAACTTGAACAGAAGTAGAAAATAACTAGAACAGAACTAGAACAGAACTAGAACTGAACTAGAACAGAACTAGAAACGAACTTGAACAGAACTAGAAAATAACTAGAACAGAACTAGAACAGAACTAGAACTAGAACAGAACTAGAACTAGAACAGAACTAGAACTAGAACAGAACTAGAACAGAACTAGAACAGAACTAGAACAGAACTAGAACAGAACTAGAACAGAACTAGAACAGAACTAGAACAGAACTAGAACAGAACTAGAACAGAACTAGGACAGAACTAGAACTGAACTAGAACTGAACTAGAACTGAACTAGAACTGAACTAGAACTGAACTAGACCAGAACTAGAACAGAACTAGAACAGAACTAGAACAGAGCTAGAACAGAACTAGAACAGAACTAGAACAGAACTAGAATAGAACTAGAACAGAACTAGAACAGAACTAGAACAGAAGTAGAACAAAACTAGAACAGAACTGGAACAAAACTAGAACAGAACTAGAACTGAACTAGAACTGAACTAGAACTGAACTAGAACTGAACTAGAACTGAACTAGAACTGAACTAGAACTGAACTAGAACTGAACTAGAACTGAACTAGAACTGAACTAGAACTGAACTAGAACTGAACTAGAACTGAACTAGAACTGAACTAGAACTAGAACTAGAACTGAACTGAAACTGAACTAGAACTGAACTAGAACTGAACTAGAACTGAACTAGAACTGAACTAGAACTGAACTAGAACTGAACTAGAACTGAACTAGAACTGAACTAGAACTGAACTAGAACTGAACTAGAACTGAACTAGAACTGAACTAGAACTGAACTAGAACTGAACTAGAACTGAACTAGAACTGAACTAGAACTGAACTAGAACTGAACTAGAACTGAACTAGAACTGAACTAGAACTGAACTAGAACTGAACTAGAACTGAACTAGAACTGAACTAGAACTGAACTAGAACTGAACTAGAACTGAACTAGAACTGAACTAGAACTGAACTAGAACTGAACTAGAACTGAACTAGAACTGAACTAGAACTGAACTAGAACTGAACTAGAACTGAACTAGAACTGAACTAGAACAGAACTAGAACTGAACTAGAACTAGAACTGAACTAGAACTAGAACTGAACTAGAACTAGAACTGAACTAGAACTGAACTAGAACTGAACTAGAACTGAACTAGAACTGAACTAGAACTGAACTAGAACTGAACTAGAACTGAACTAGAACTGAACTAGAACTGAACTAGAACTGAACTAGAACTGAACCTAGAACTGAACTAGAACTGAACTAGAACTAAACTAGAACTGAACTAGAACTGAACTAGAACTGAACTAGAACTGAACTAGAACTGAACTAGAACTGAACTAGAACTGAACTAGAACTGAACTAGAACTGAACTAGAACTGAACTAGAACTGAACTAGAACTGAACTAGAACTGAACTAGAACTGAACTAGAACTGAACTAGAACTGAACTAGAACTGAACTAGAACTGAACTAGAACTGAACTAGAACTGAACTAGAACTGAACTAGAACTGAACTAGAACTGAACTAGAACTGAACTAGAACTGAACTAGAACTGAACTAGAACTGAACTAGAACTGAACTAGAACTGAACTAGAACTGAACTAGAACTGAACTAGAACTGAACTAGAACTGAACTAGAACTAGAATTGAACTAGAATTGAACTAGAACTGAACTAGAACTGAACTAGAACTGAACTAGAACTAAACTAGAACTGAACTAGAAGAGTAGAGAAACATAACTAGAAAAAGAACTAGAACTGAAGAAATGCAAATACACGAACTTCCTTATTAAGAATTGAGAATTTTGACAAATTTTTCATTAAGTTTTCAATATTTTCCTTTTTTAAGAATTATCATGTTGCCACTTTTTAGGTTAAAAATTTAAAAATCTCTCCTTAACATTTAACACAATTTTCTGTTAAAACTTATAATTTTCTTAAAGAATTTTTGTTACAGCAAAACAAAAAATTAATTATAAGAAAAATAAAATTATAATACAACAAATAATGTCTAGTTTTTCATACTTTACCCAAGAATTATTAGAATTACATTATTTACATACCCTTATTTTCTTTACATTACACACACACACACAAACACAGGCAAGATTTATTATAATTCCTTTTTTGTTAAAAAAAAAATATTAATTTTTCTTTCTTGCATAAAATCAGCCTTTTTTACCATATAAATACACACACACACACACTAGTGCAGTTATTGAGACGATGAAGAAGAAGAAGAAGTCATTCAATATGTTAAGGCGATGTAGTTGCTGTGATAATAATAATGATGATGTTGAAATGATTATGATGTTGTTTTCAAAACAACTTTGCTGGGGCTTGGTTTTTATCCCTTTTGTGTGTGGTACTTTTAAAAGTTTTGTTAGGGAATATGTGTTGTTATTGCCCTCCCGTTCCTTTATGTTGTAGAAGATACAACAAAATTGTATATTGGAAGTAAGAAAAAAAGGCTTACGAGACCAGGTTTCTTAGTTTTATTCTCCGTATTTTTTTGTTTTGCTTTTAGTATCTTGGCGTTATTGTGGTTTTGCGTGTTTTGTTATTATGCTTCAAAACATTAGGTTGTTGTTGTTTTTACTTTTAGCCAAGTTAATATCGTAGTTTGTAGTTGTTGTTGTTGTTTTTGACTTGTTTTTGTTGTTAACGTGTGCTAGAGTGTTTTTGTCCCTATACGTTGTTTAATTGTGTGATTCTTGTTGTTGTTTGGGTCGTCGTCTCACTTTTTATGCTTTATTTTTTTTTTTTGTCTTCAATCGGTCGTCGATCCACGCGAATGTTTGGAAAATGTGAAAAAACTGCAAATAAAGAAGGGGAAAAACAACAAAACATTAAAAATATGAAAACATTAAAATGAAAATTACTATAAAAACATGGGCCCAGCAATAAGAAAAATAAAACTAAAAAAAAATATATAAAAAAACAAATTCATAAACAACAAGAGAGGGAGCGAATGTATATAAAATGAAAAAATGTGAATGAGAAAAAAACCCATAAAAATGCAATTATGTTTTACAGTCAAAGGCCGGGGAAATAAAAAAAAACATTACTACTTATAGATAGTTATAATATTAAGTTACTTAGCGTGAGTAGTAAATATATATAAAAATCCTAGATAATAAAGATTTTTAAATAAAATTTTGAAATTTTTTCTAAATTTTCAAAATTTTTCTTCCAAATTTTCTTATTTTTTTCTCTAGAATTTTTACAAAAACTGAATATTATTGTTATATAACGAATTTTAATGAATATGTTTTAAAATCGCATCGTTTTCGGTCATGTTCGAAAATTCGAACTTAATTTCGAACATTTTTTTTGGACACTACTTCAAAAACTTTTAACAAAATTGGAACTAATCAAGATTTCGCTGTAGTATTCTCTGTTTTTAAAGAAAATTTTGAAAATTATCTTTTAATTTTCGAATATTTTTTTATAATTTTGAAAAATTTTCTCCAAAATGTTTACTGTTTTGTCCTAATTCGTTTGCAAACGCTAAATATTAGTAGTTTAAGTCGATATTTTATATAAGTATAGTTATTTACAACATTTTAGCCGATGTTCGAAAATTCGAACTTAATTTCGAAAATTTTCGAACATTAAAAAAATCATTATTTTTGGACACTACTTCAAAAATTTTACACAAAATTGGAAATAATCAAGATTTGGCTACAATATTCTTTGTTTTTAGACAAAATTTTGAAATTTTTCTTTTAATTTTCGAATATTATTTTTATAATTTGAAAAATTTTCCACTAAAATGTTCACTATTTTCTTTTAAATCGTTAAGAAATGCTAAATATTACTAATGTAATATGATATTTTATATAAATATAGTTATTTGCAGCATTTTAACTGATGTTCGAAAATTCGAACTTAATTTCGAAAATTTTCGAACATTAAAAAAATCATTATTTTTCGACTCCACTTCATAAATTTAACAAAAAATAAGAAATAATAAAGTTTTCCTTTCGGTATTCTTTGTTTTTAGACAAAATTTTGGAAATTTTTTATGAATTCAAAAAATTTTATTTTAATTTTCGAAATTCGTCCACAAAATTTTCACAATTTTGTTGTAAATTGTTTTGCAAATGCTAAATACTACTGATGTACGATGATATTTAATAGAAATATAGTTATTTGCAACATTTTAGTAAATTTTCGAAATTAAAAAAAATCACTATTTTTCGACTCCACTTCATAATTAACATACAAAATTGAATATAATAAAGATTTGTTATAAATTTTCTTTGATTTGTGACAAAATTTTAAAAATTTTATTAAAATTTTAAAAATTATCTTTTAAATTTTCGAAATTTTTATTCTAAATTTTTTTAATATTTTCTTCCTCAAATGCTAACGTATGATGATATTTTATAAAAAAAATATAATTATTTGCAACATTTTTGCTGATGTTCGAAAATTCAAACTTAATTTCGAAATTTTTCGAACTTTAAAAAAATCATTTTTTTTAGTTTATTTTGTTAAGTATTGCCTTCAATTCTTATACAAAATTAAAATTTTCAATTTTTTTTTTTATTGAAATACATACCTATTTAATATATTTTAATAAAATTTTTAAAATATTTGAAAACTTAAGATTTTATTAAAAAAAAAAGATTAATATTTTTTTTAATAAATCAAGTTTATTTTTGGCATTGAAAGTTTTTATAATACAAATTCCAATATAACAGTCATCAGAGTTAAGTTTTTGGTTTGAAAAAAAAACAACAACAAATACACACGATAAACAGAGAGAATTTATAATAATGTCAAAGCCAAAAGAATGTCACTTATCCACTTAAAGCCAAATAGTTTCGTTTTATAAGAACAACAACTCCAACGCAAAACAAACGTTTTTTTTTCTGTTGGCCTTAAAAATATGCCAAAAAAATATACAAAAATAGCAACAAAAAAAAAACTATAAAGCTAAAAGTTTTGTTTTAAACATGTTTTACTAAATAAAGTTATACGCCTTTAAACAAAATAAACTTTAAACTCTGTGAGAAGAAAATGAGAAGAACAAAAAGAACATAAAATGGATTTTGTTAAGCATCCAGCACACACAGAAAGAAGTAAGAAATCCTGAAAGACCAGAAATTTTGTTATGTTATTTTTGCTAAGACAACAGACAGACGGACATACATCCAACAACAACAACAACAGGAATGTGGTTGAGGTATAGAAAAATTCTAAGAATTCTAAACCTGAATAAAATAACGTTTAACTCATGACGTTCATGGTTCTTTTTTTTGTTTTACTCTACGTTCTATGCTGCACGTACGTACAATGAACCGAGCGTTAAACAAAATAAAAAGAAGATTAAACACATTACAAGGAGCAAAAAGCAAAGACCAACCAACCATCATTGCTGCAGCTTAACATCTCAAACAGTCCGAGACAAATAAACAAATGGAAGTCGTCTGTGTTTTACTCATAAAAATAAATAAAACTAGTAACAACAACAACCACTATAAGGCGCGAAATTTGTATAACAAAAGGACAAGAAGAGATGAAAATCTTAAAAAAAAGGAAAATTTTAAAACAATTGTGCAATTCACAAACGTTGTTGTATGATTGTATCGTAGGTACAAGTTCAATATTTAGTTTATATTTGCTTCAAAAACTTTTCATGTCCATACAACGTTACAATAACGACTGTGAAGTAGGGTTCTATAAATCGACTTTCGAATAATCGAACAATGGACTTTTTTTCGAAAAAAGTCGAAGTCGACTATTTTGTTCCAAAAAAGTCGATAACTCGACTATCGTCTATGAAAAAAGTCGAAAAGTCGACTTTGTAAATAAAAGTCGAAAAAAGTCGAAAAGTCGGAAAGTCGAAAAAAGTCGAAAAAAGTCGAAAAAAGTCGAAGAAAGTCGAAAAAAGTCGAAAAGTCGGAAAAAGTCGAAAAGTCGGAAAAAGTCGAAAAGTCGAAAAAAGTCGAATATTTTAAAAAAGTGGAAAAGAGGTCAAAAACTCTAAAATAGTCGGAAAAACTCAAAAAAAAGTAAAAAATAGTCAAAAGAAAAGTCGAAAATAGTCAAAAAGTCGTAAAAAATCGAAAAGTCGAAAAGTCGGAAAAAGTCGAAAAGTTGAAAAAAGTCGGAAAAAGTCGAAAAGTCGAAAAAAAGTCGAAAAGTCGAAAAAAGTCGAAAAGTCGAAAAGTCGAAAAAAGTCGAAAAGTCGGAAAAAAGTCGAAAAGTCGGAAAAAGTCGACCATTTATAAAATACTAAAAGTCGAAAAGTCTAAAAGTCGACTTTTAAATAAATGAAAAAGGTCGAAAAGTCGAAAAATCGACTTTTCATAAAATGGAAAAAGTCGAAAGGTCGAAAAGTCGACTTTTAACTAAATGCAAAAAGTCGAAAAGTCGACTTTTCGTTTCAACTATAGAACCCTACTGTGAAGAGCTTCTTTATATTAAAAGAAGATATTTATAATCAAAAACTAGCAACTACTGCTGCTATCTTCTCTTAAACACAATTCAATAATACCACTGTGCTGGCTTTCAAAAGTTGTTGACAAAATCTTATTAGTTGCTTTGGCTGTTGTTAGCTTCTTTGACTGGTATTTGTTGGGCGTATTTACCAATGACATTAGTTTGTTGTATTCTGTGGTTATGCCATTGCTAGTATGTAAAACTATGTGAAAAATATTAGAAATAGAAAAAAAAAACATTAGGAATTTTAACGGTTTTTCTGCATTTTCTGCTAACGTTAAAGCGCAGCAGAGCCACAGCCATGGCTGCTGTTGTATGCTAAAGAATGTTTAAGTTGAAGAAAAATTATTGAAATTCCTGAGGAAATATTGACTTTTTATATATGTTGCAGGAAATTTATTAAATTCAAAACACTTTAAGTTAAAATTTTAATTTAGAACCAAAATTTCGAAATTTCTTTAAAATTTTCTCAAAATTTTCACCATATTCTCTCTAAAATTTGTAAAAATTTTAAATATTACTAATTTAAGCTATTAGTTTATAAAAATATAGTTATTTGCAACATTTTAAGAAAACTGCGAAAATTCGTACTTAATTTCGAAAGTTTTCGAACATTGAAAAATGCTATATTTTTCTATTCTACTTCATAATTTTTATACAAAATTGAAAATAGTAAAAATTTAGCATCACAATTCTTAGTTTTTTAAATAAAATTTAAAAATTTTTCTTAATTTTTTAAATTTTGAAAAATTTTTTTTCAAAATTTCACTATTTTCTCCCTAAAATTGGTAAAAATGCTTAATGTTACAAATGTTAGACGATACTTTATAAAAATTTAGTTATTTGCAACATTTTAAGAGAATTTCGAAAATTCGAATTTAATTTCGATATTTTTCGAACATTAAAAAATCATCATTTTTGGACTAAATTTCATAAATTTTACTTAAAATTGCTAATAACTAAAATTCTGAAAACAAATTATAGCTTTTTTAACAAAATTTTCAAAGATGTTACTAAAATTTTGAAAATTTTCCTAAAATTTTGAAAATTTTCCTAAAATTTAAAAAAAAATTGATTATTTTCTTTCTAAAACTCTTACAGAAGTTAAATATTATTATTCTATAATGGAATTTTATGAATACATTTCAATTTTGCAACATTTTAGGAGAACTTCGAAAATTCGAACTTAATTACGAAATTTTTCGAACATTTAAAAAATCATTATTTTTCGATTTGATTTCATAAATTTTACTTAAAATAACAATTCTGAAAACAAATTATAGCTTTTAAACCAAAATGTTCCTTAAATTTTGAAAATTTTCCTTAAATATTGAAAAATTTCCATAAATTTTGAAAAATTGTC